GCTGTGAATTTTAGTATTTAGTTTATGTGGACTTTGAAATGAAAATCACTGACCTATTCTCTATGTTGGTAATTATAATTCAGTTATGGTTAAGAACTTGGTCAGACTTGGACCTGGATCCCAGTTCTAGCACTTACTAGTTGGGTAACTTTGGTCAAGTTACTTAACTTTTCTCAGACCTCATTGTATTTCTGTCACATGGAGTTGTTAATGTTAAAGAAGAATGTGTATTAGAGTGCCTAGCATAGTGGTGGCATTTAGAAAACACTCAATATTATGTTAGTACAACATTACACTAGTTTGGGGATGACTACCCAGAGATTATACATTTATATAATTTAGGAAGTACACCCTGATAAATGTTGTACTCATCTGACACTATATGTAGTTATTACAGTATCATTCCATATGTTGTACTTTATACCCTCGGGACTGTTCTGTAACTACCAAGTACTTCTTATTTTACCTCAACCTCCTAAACATCTGGGAACCTTCAGAATGTTTTGTATATCTATGTGTCTGTTTCTGGTTTGCTTGTTAGTTTATTTTGTTTTTTAGATTCCATATATAAGTGAAATCATTTAGCATTTGTCTTTCTCTGACTTACTTCACTCAGCACAGTACTCTGAGTCTATTCATGTTGTTGCAGATGTCAAGATTTCATTCTTTTTTATGTCTGGGTCATATTCCACTATATATATATATATATATATATATATATATATATATATCACTTCTTCTTTATTAATTTATCTATTGATGGACATTTAGGTTGCTTTCGTATCCTGGCTATTGTAAATAATGCTGCAATGAACATATGGATGTATATGTCTTTTCAATGAGGGTTTTAGGTTTCTTCAGATACCCAGAAGTGAAATCACTGGGTCCTTTTTTGTCTCTTGATATAGTCTTTGTTTTAAAGTCTGTTTTGTCTGGTATAAGTATTATTACCACAGCCTTTTGTTTATTTCCATTTCCAGGAAATATCTTTTTCCATCCATTTACTTTCAGTCTGTGTGTGTCTTTTGATCTGAAATAAGTCTCTTATACACGGCAGTGTAAAGGTTTGTGTTGTTATCCATTCAGCAACAGTATGTCTTTTGATTGGAGCATTTAATCCATTTGCATTTAAAGTAGTTGTTGGTAGCCCTGACTGGTGTGGCTCAGTGGGTTGGGCATCTTCCCCCAAACAGAACGATTGCTGGTTCAGTTCCTAGTAAGGGCACATGCCTCAGTTGTGGACCAAGTCCCCAGTTGGGGGCGTGCACAGGGCAATTGATAGATGTTTCTCTCACACATCGATGTTTCTTCCCCACCCCTTGTTCTCCCTCCCTTCCCCTCTCTCAAAATAAATAAATAAAATCTTTTTTAAAAAGTTGTTGGTAGATGTGAGCGGGGAACCAGAAAAGGGAGTTGTCTTCTGGAGGGCAGACCCCTTGTAATACAGGTTTCTCTCACTAGGTAAGTGCTCTAGGAACCCGTCTGTATCAGTGTACTAGCTGGCATTGTTGTGAGAGGCTGTGTTCTGCTTCAGTGAATTTTTTTTTGAAGACTCAACATGTTTGCCCATTTCATAATGGCTGATTTACAAGCACACCTGCCCACACCATGCTCAGTGTTCAATAATTTTTGACCAAAAATGATGTGACCCCCCCATGCCCCACCCTCCCAGTTTACCTGATGTCACCCTAAGTGAGTTCTTTTGTTTCCCCGGGTGAACAAAGTTGTCAGAGGGCAACATTTTTTCCAATATAAAAGAGATGAAACAAAAATAAGCAGAAGTACTAAAAGCCATCAAAATCGACAAGTTCAAAAACTGTTTTGAGCAGTAGAAAACATGGAGAGTAATTTGAAGGTAACTGATATTTAAACATAAAAGAATAAATACACTATTTTTTATAAATATATTTTGGGTTTGGGGGGGCTGCCCCTTTCATGTATTTATTGTCATTTTATTTATAATTTTTATCTTTTATTCCCTTCTTTGTAAAGAAAACCCTTTAATAGTTCTGATAGTACTGGTTTGGTGATGAACTCTTTTTGCTTGTTTCTTATCTGGGAAAGTTTTTATCTGTTCTTAATTCTAAATGATAATGCAGGTGGTAGGTCGTTGCTTTTCATCAGTTTGAATTTTTCTTGCCAATCCCTTCTGGTTTGAAAGGTTTCTATTGAGAATCAGCTGGCAGTCTTCGGGGAATCAGATTACTGCTTTTCTCTTGCTGTTTTTATGATTCTCTCTTTGTCTTTAACCATTGGCATTTTAACCATGATATGTCTTGGTGTGGGCCTCTTTGAGTTCATCTTGTTTGGGACTCTGTGCTTCCTGGAAACATGGTGAGGGAAACATGTCTATTTCCCTCACCATGTTAGGGAAGTTTTTTGTCATTATTTTCTCAAATATGGTTTCAATTTCTTGTTCTCACTCTTCTCCTACTAGCACCCTTATGGTGCAAATATTGATACACTTAAAGTTGTCCCAGAGGCTCCTTATGTTACCCTCATTTTTTAAAATTTGTTTTTCTTTTTGCTGTTCTAATTGAGTGTTTTCTATTTCCTTATCTTCCGAATCACTGATTTGATTGTCTACTCTGCTGTTTATCTCCATAATGTAATTTTCATTTCAGTCATTATATTCCTCAGTGGTGACTGGTTCTTTTTGTTGTTTCCTTTCTCTTTGTTGAAGTTCTCATTGGTTTCTCTGCTCTTCCTCTAAGTTCATTGAGCCTCCTGACAACCAGTGTTCTGAACTCTGAATCTGGTAGATTGCTTGTCTCTAGTTTATTTAGTTCTTTTTTCTGGAGTTTTGTTCTGTTCTTTCATTTGGGACATTTTTTTTTTCTTCTCATTTTGGCTGCATCCCTGTGTTTGTTTCTGTGTACTAAGTAGAGCTGCTCTATTTCCTACTCTTTGTAGAGTAGCCTTTTGTAGCAGGTGCCCTGTAGGGCCCAGTGGCACAGCCTCCCCACTTACCGAACCTCCACGTGTGCCCCCTGTGGGGACAATGTGCGCTCTCCTCTTGTAGTTGAGCCTTGATTGCTGTTGTCACATCGGCAGGAGGGACTTACCCCCAGGCAGTTCAGCAGTGAGTACTAGCCTGGACCACCCTTGGAGGATGTACAGGGGACAACCCATGGCAGGGAACTCACTTCAACTGGGCTCAGGTACCCACCAAGCCCATTCCTTGAGTGTGTTGCTTGTGGACACGGTAGGGTTGCTTCAGAGTAGTCTGAAGGTTCGCTGGCTTTTGGGCCTCCTGGGAGGTGTATGCCATGGCCATCTGCCACCTGTGTCCTGCCCAGAGCCACCCAGTGTGAGCTACACAGTGATCTGCAGATGGCTGCACTTGTGCTGGGCTTGGAGGTGCCCAGGAGAGGCCAAACTGTGAACCAAGGCTTGCTACTGCTAATGCCGGGCATGGCGCCACTTGGTGAGTGGTATGGGGCACGCTGAGGCCTGATGCTGCTTGGTTGAGAGGTTTTAGGAAAGTTAGCAGCATGAGCCAAGACAGGTTGTTTGTGTGGAAAAGCCACTGGAAATAGCAGTTGGCCCAAAAGTTGGGTATGGTGGGGTATCAGGAATTACCAGGGTAGGGAGAACCATGTTAGCAGGTTGATGGAGGCTCAGATATAGTCTAGTCCTCACCTGTGGCTCTGTGGGCGGGTAGGGGGGTGCTTATCAAAGGAACAGTGGCCTCTGCCAGAACAGCGCTTCTGTCTGGGAGAAAGCTGCTTCTCTGGCCCTTGACCTGATGCCAGACAGTTCAGTTCCTCCTCGTATGTCCCTGGTGCCTTTTTTTTTTTAAGATTTTATTATTTATCTTTAGAGGGAAAGGGAAGGAGAGAGGGAGAGAAATATCAATGTGTGGTTGCCTCTCGTGTGTCCCCTGCTGGGAACTGACCTGCAACCCAGTCATGTGCCCTGACTGGGAATCGAACCGCGATCGTCTGGTTCACAGGCCGGCATTCAGTCCACTGAGCTACACCAGCCAGTGTCCCTGGTGCCTTTTGAGCTACTGCCCCAGCCCTGGAGCTTAGAGCAAGTAAAAGTCCATGTGTGGGCCTTTTAAGAGGAACACCTGGGACTCCAGAAGCCCTTCATCTCCCTCAGCCTCAATCCCTGCTGGTTTTTACAGCCAGAAGTTAGGCGGACTTCTTTTCCCAGCACTAAAACTCTAGGCTGCAGGTGGGGATGGGGACAGGTGTGGGGCTAGGACCCCTTGCTCCTCAGGAGGGACTTCCACAGCCAAGACAACACAACCGTCTAGATTTTTACCTGCCACACCTGGGCATGAGACCGGCCCATTCTACATCTCCACCCCACTACCAGTTTGGATGCGGCAGTTTTTTTATATCCTTAGTTGTAGGACTTGTGTTCAGCTAGATTTTAAGCTGTTTTCGGTAATGGTTGTTCAGTTGTAATTTTGACGTGATTGTGGGAGGATGTGAGTAGTGCATTTACCTACTCCAGCATCTTGACAAGAGGCCCCCATCACTTATTTTGAGGAATACTGAAAAAAGTTTTGCTTCAGTGACTTGCTTATTCTAATTTCATTTCAGTGTTTGAATAATGAATAATACAAATGAAATTTTTTGTCCACTGTGTCAGGTCAATCCAGGTATTAGTAGTTAAAGTATCCTTCTTATTTAAGAATGATTTCCAGAAATTTATAGAAGTGAAAGCATTGAATAAAAATACGTTTTTATTAAGTAAAACTTTATTTTTGGATTAGACAGAATGCTTAAGAATTTCTTTTTAAAGGTTAAGAAATTGGTGTTGTTGCTGTTGTTGTTTTTAACTAAAGGAAGCCATCTTAATACAGGTAATCAAGAAATGCTAATCTTAAAATGAGAAGCAACTAGTTTCTAAATAACTTATCATTTCAGGTACATAATACTGCATTTTTGTTGTGTTTGCCTTATTATATTTTTAATAGTTTTAAATTTGTAATAAAATAACTATTGAAATCTGTGGTTGCAAGTTTTTGAAAACATCTCTTTTAGCTGTTGGTGAAGCATGGAGGAGACTTGTTTGCTGAGAATGAGAATAAAGATACGCCTTGTGATTGTGCTGAAAAGCAACACCACAAAGATTTGGCCCTTAACCTGGAATCTCAGATGGTATTCTCACGAGATCCTGAAGCTGAAGAAATAGAAGCTGAATATGCTGCATTAGACAAACGAGAGGTAAGATTTTTTTAATTAAAAAATTATATGGGTTTTATATTAATTTTTTGTCTTCTTTATAGTCCAGTTTGTGTTGTCGTCTTTGCAACATGCTAAAAATCCTGTCACCTGCATAGCCATAAATATAAAAATACACATCTAGAAACCCTGGAAGTGGAGTCTTTCCTCTAACATGTGTACATCTACTTACATATAAATAGAGATGCTGATGTGTGATGTGAATCCTGGCCTGTTCTACCAGTCCAAAGCTCTGGTCCTCCTGCTCCTCAGTCTCTCCTTGTCTTCTGGACTGCTCTTATCAGCAGACAAGCTTGGTAACTCCTATCGTGAAAAGCAAAAACAGCTGAACAGCCTTTCCATTGACCATTCTTCCCAAGCCCTGTCCCTGTCCCCCTTCAGTTGTAGCCCACATTTCTGATCCTCGTATGAGGAGAACAGACTTGAGAGTTTTCTATGCAGACCGAGTTCCTCACCTTCCATTCACTCTTCAGCCCATTGCATTATGACTTTCTTCCCCTCTGTGATGGAATTGTACTGGTCATGGACACTAACACTCATGTAAGCCTTCCTTGTCCGAGTAAACATTATTTCTATTCATTGAATTGTTCAGGCATAAACGAGGTGTGCATTCTTGATTTCCTCACTTCTTACATCCAGATAATCTGGGAATCCTATTGGTTTTCCTTCAGAAATTATAGCAAATCAATTTACTTCTCCCAGTCTTCACTCCTACCTCCCTTGGCCCTTCTCATCTGAGCTGATGTAATAGTTTTTTCTTACTGGTCTCCTTCCTTCTGTTCTGGTTTCCTTAGGATGCATCTTGTACACAGGAGCCAAAGTGACAATTTTAAACTTAAACTAGGTTGTATCACTTAAATCACTCGGTAAACTTTTCATTGTACTTAAAATACAAACTATTTGCTCAGATATAATGCTTTATATGGTCTGGCTACTAATACCTACCTCTTCAACATTATCTCAGACTTTTTGTCTAAGCACGCTTTGCTCTATTATTATACCTACATCAAGACTTTTGTATTTTGTCCCCTGTGTCTCTTGGCTAGCTCAATATCACTTCATCGGACAGGCAGTCTGTAGTCATTTTTTTCTAAAATAGGTCTCTCTCCTTCCATTTTTCTTTACCATAATATCCTGTTCATCCTTCTTAGCACTTACTATGCGCTATAATTATTTGTTTTGTGTATTTGTTTACTTATTTATTGCTTTTCTCTCCTGTTAGATTGTCAATTCCACAAGGGCCAGAGCCATAACTGCCTTATTCTACAGAGTATTTTCAGTGTCTTAATGCACTGATACACAATGGGCACCAATAGAAACTTCTTTTTTTTTTTTTAGTTGATTTTAGAGAGAGGGAGAGAGAGAGAGGCCAGTTTGTTGTTCCACTTACTTACGCATTCATCGGTTGGTTCCTGTGTGTGCCCCGACCCAGGATTTAACATGCAACGCGGGTGTGTCTGGATGGCACTGCAACAAACTGAGCTACCTACCTGGCCAAGGCTAGATATTCTTAAATAAAGAAATTAGAAGGCACAATAAATTTTTCCCCAAGTGATTCTGATTTGATGTTCAGTGCTAACTTGATTCTAAAAGAAATTATATAACTATTGCTTGTGTTTAATCGTATTATTTATTTTTTCTTTCCCATGAATTCACAGCAGTTTTTGAGTTGCTATACTCTCCAGAATGGGGAAAAGAACTGAGTTTCTTGGGGTTAAAAGATTCACATTTCTTTACCTTTTGTGCTTTCTCAGTTAGGTTGTTTTATAGGAATGATTATTCAGAATAAATACACAGAGAGAGCTGATGTTTTAAGCACTTTTGTGTGGTTGTTGAATTCACTTAGTAACATACCTTCAAATGATATTTAGAACCCCTCCTTCTCTTTTTTTTCTTACTGATTAGAGAGAGAGAAACATCAGTTTGTTGTTGCACTGACTTATGCATTCATTGGTTGCTTCTTGTAGGTGCCCTGACCTGGATCAGACCTGCAACATTGGCTTCGCAGGACAGTGTGCTAACTGAACTACCCAGACAGGGCATAACCACTTCTTTTTTTTTAAATGCAGAAGATAAACCAGAAAATAATGGAATAATCTGTCAGGGTCAAAGTGAGCTGAACCTGATTCTTAAGACATCTACTGTTGGGACTAGTAGAGGACCAGCTGTGTAGGAGTGCAGCACGATTACATTTGGGTAAATGAAGGGGAAACAGCATTGTGCTGCTATTAAAGTCATCTAAAGACTCCCCATCTCCCTCCCAATCTAGAACTCAGGAAAGCTCAAGGCTTTTTTTCTGGTAGGAAACCCATATGCTGGACTTTGCTTAGCCGACTACTCCAGGTGGTATAAGGTTTAACTTTGTGCGAGCAGCTGGCTGCCTTCCTCTTAGGCCAAAGTACAGACCTGGAAAGCCTAGGTTTTGATCCCCAGATGAGAAGAGCTGAGTAAGAAGCAGGGAAACTGAGAAGGAAAGGGTCTGCGAATCCTAAAGACTTCAGCTATTTTTCGCCCCCTCTCCCAGGCTAAGCTGATGGATCAGTTAAAGAGAGATTGGTATTAAAAGGAATTGGAAACATCCTCTCCTTTCCCTGAGTGCCTTTTAAATTTTTTACAATTACTGATATATTTGGCTGAATAAGTACTCATTTTGATTTTTTCCCACTTTTTAACAATGAACATGTATTACCTATATAATCAAGGGGAAACCTGTTTTCACTGAGAAAAAATAAAAACAAATACTTCTCTCATAGCTCCTTTGTCATAGTCTTTCCTGAAACAATTTTTGAAGATAATATCACTTTATACATGGTATCAAAGTGGTACAGCTTGTATGTTAGGCTGCTTCACATTTCTTTAGTGTTATTTGGTAGCAGTAGTATGCACTGATGCAAAGGAGCCACTTTTGTCCTTCCTCGCTGTCTTTTTTTAAATTAGTTTCATTTTTCTTTCTTTGTATCAGGACTTATTACTTTGAAGGTTATTTCTGGTTTGCATTTAATCCGAAAATAGAACCAGTTTATCTTTGCACAGGAAAGAGTAAGGCACCTTCATTTTAATCCTTCCTGCAGAAGAAAGGGCTAGTGCCCACTTGGGACTGAGGGATGTATTGAAATGCTTCACAAGACCTAATTATAGTTCTGTTACAGAGGTTCAAAGTGAATATCTTATGTGTTCATGAAGGCTGTATGTCTCCTTCAAGAACTATTTTTCTTCTGGTGTAACCTATATAAGTTCAAAAATTCAAACCTATATAAGTTTGAATTTTAAAGAAACTTAAGCTATGCAGACTGCTTCATATTATACCTTTGTTAATATCTCTGAAATTAAATTTTCTTTTGCTCAATATAAATAGGGTAGAATGATAGTTTTTCTGAAAAAAGGAATATTTACAAAACAATACCAGGAAATACACAATTGCCACCACTAGAAATAATCACTAAATATTTGCTCTCGTTGCTGATTCGGATTAGGTTCCTGGAATCTCAAGTCTGTATTTGGAACTCGTTTTCTAGAAGCAATGTTATACGTAGTGTATAATTTCTGTACTAGAGTGAGTACTGCAAAGTTAATCAACCATGAAAGGACTTGTTAAACGTTTTTTCAGGAGAAAGTGTAGTTCATGAATTAGCTTAAAAGCAAACTTCACATGATGGTTTGGAGGACCTTTCAAATGAAAGTTTGGGTTTAATTGCAACATTTTTCTTTGGTTGTTGATGTTCCCCCTATACAGAATCATCTAGGTTACATTTTTTTCTAGTTGAGTTCATATGACGTCTGTGTACAGGGAGGTTTGCGGCAGTAGAGCTGAACACGTAACTGTTTTGCATCAGCTTTCACTATCATGTTTAAAAGGAATAGCACTGCAGACTGATCGAGTGTAGGCAGTACCACCGTTGAAAGCTCTTTAACATCTGAAGTGATTTTTCTTATATTTTTTAATTAAATCTTTCCTGCAAAACATGTTCTGTATAAAAAGAAGCAAAATGAAGAATTTAAATGTTTATTATTCTACCACTTACAAATCATCCTTTTAACATTGTTCAGGATTGCTTTTCATTTTTCACCCCTGGAATGATATTTTGTATCTTGTAGGGGTTTTTTTCGTAACATTTCTTGATATTCACAGACTCATCATGGGAATCATTTTAAATGACTGCCGATTATTCTAACTTGTAGGTGTCCTGTAAATCCTTCAGTGTACATTGGGTTACTTGCATTTTGTCCATTTTATAGCAAACACTGGTAACGACCAATTTTGCCCACGTTTTTGATTATACCTTAGGATAGGTACCTACAGGTAAAATCATTGGGTCAAGAGATGAATGTTTTAAAGACTCATGATCCATGTTTGGTTGTTAAGTGATGTACCATTTTTTATTTTTACCCACAGTGTATCAGAGGGCCACCTCACTTCAACCTTACTACAACTGAGTGTCTGTCTCTTTCTCTTTTAGCCTTGGCCACTTTTAAAGTAATGCAATTTTTATGTTTAAATCTTGGCAGATATTTATGCAGTCAAGTGTGTTACTCTTTTCTGTCATTGATATTGCTTACATATGCATTCCTGCCAGAAGACACCTAAGGATTAAGAAACTTGCTGTGTCAGCTGAGAAATTATTCCTGGTCAATAAGAGTCCCAATTATACAGGGTTAACTAAGAATTGACTAAATGGTTTCCACAATACCAAAAAAACAAAGCAAGAAGAAATAAAATCTAACTCTAAAATGTCCGTGAGTCAGCTGCAATGGATGAGGTTTGTTAATCGCCCAGAGGTCTCTGGAGACCTTGGTAGATGCTACCAGAGGACATCCTCAGTGGTTGTTACTCTGATAAGTACTGGGAATTTCTACTGCTTTTGAAGCTATGGCCGTTAGTTCTATGTGTAACTGCATGCAGTAAGCATAACTGCTCAAAGGATTGAAATGATACATACATCAATATTAATAATGAAAACAATACTGAATGAAAATAAAGAAAAGCATATCGCCTAGTGATATATGTATAATGATATGCCATAATATTATGAGAGCTGTAAATCAAATTCATGGTAGTGATTGCCAGAAGCAAGGATGAGGAAAATTAGGGAAATGTAATGGGGAAACATGTCACAGATTTGCTCCTTTTGTTTCATTTTGCTTTTTAAAAGGACTTGAAACAAGGCAAAAATGTTATCAATCATTTCTGAGTAGTGAGATATGTGGTTTTATTTTTTATATGTTTTTTGTTAAAAGCAAAAAAAAATAAAGGATAATAAAAGAACAAAAACCCTGAGGTGATATATTGCCTATATGAAAATAAACAGCATTAATGAACACTTGAGTAAACATTAAAAATAATATGTTTATTTCTAAGAAGTCTGAATAGTGCGGCATAGTAGTTACTTCTCTCCAAGTTAATTACCATGTTTTGCCATGTATAATGTGCACTTTTTTGGCCAAATTTTTTAGAGAAAAATAAGGATGTGCATTATACATGGGTAGTTCTAATTCTGTATCTGTGTAAATGTTTTTTTTACTTATGCTTATGCAATAAAAGTAACTCTAAAAAACAGTAATGATATCTGTATGCAAAATAATACCTTGGAATATGATAACCAGTTTTGTTTCTAAATATAAATAAATAAATTGAATTAAAACGAAAGACTTTTTTCTGAAAGTTTGGGCTAAAAATGTGGGTGCACACTATACACAGCAAAATACGGTCATATACAATGATTGTATACGGTATTATACAATCCCACTAGCAATCTAAATTGGATCTTAATAAGAATAAATGCTTGCTGGTTCAGTGATTGAAACTACCTAAGCAAGTGCACATATATTCACGTACAATTGGTTTGCAAAAAGACTGGGTAGATATGCTTGAGAGCTTTAATTATGATTATTGCTCAGTGGTGGGATTATAGGGGGGGTTTTATCCAAATTTTCAGAACTGTAAACTAAGATGGTTTTGTCATTATAGTATGATACTTTTATTTTATGGCATCGGCTTTCCAGTTTAAAAAAGGCTTGTGAAATAGCAGTTTGAAGTCCATGATATTGGAACATACAGAATCTTTTGAATATCAATAACCAAACGGAAGCTGAAAGCTTAAAGAAATGGTAATCTTATATTTGCGTATAGGCATTTAGAAGTCTCTAAGAGTATAACAGCCGATTCAACTTTCTTTTCCTTCTTCTTTTGAAAGCCATATGAAGGATTAAGGCCTCAGGATCTTCGCAGACTGAAGGACATGCTCATCGTGGAAACAGCAGACATGCTTCAGGCTCCCCTCTTCACTGCTGAAGCTTTACTTCGAGCTCATGGTAATGAGATCAATGTCATGTTAAACAAGCCTGAGTTGTTTGGGGGGCAGTGTTTACTGTACAGTACTCAGTATCTTCGTAACATTTTGTAGTTTGAAGTATGAACTGACTAAATCATAGAGGAGAAATAGGAACTTTGTACTTAAAAATCAAGCTACTGAATCAGCTTATAAATTGTCTCATTTTGGAAATGTGTCTGATTTGAGCAGAGTTGAGAGTTGGAATCCATAGCCCTCGTCTGGGTTTTAACATTTTTACTAAAGTCAATTAAATACATAACAGTTGTGTTACTAGTATTACCAACTTATTTTATGTAAAAGCCGTTTCTCACCATGAAATGCACAAAGTGAAATTGTAGAGTCAACACAAGAATAACTATCCCTCTTAAGGTTTGTTTGTTGTTTTGAGGACATTACTTACTTTAGGAAAAGTGTTCAGCTTGTTGTAAACTCTGACACTTACAGTCATTCTGGGAGTTGTCACATGTGGAGATGGACCCTCTCGCTGCACACTTGATATTTGACATTTGGTTTGTTTCAAAGACTATTTTTTTTCTGATTTAAAAATTATTCTTGAAAAAGGTCCAGTCGTTTTAAGGCTTACCTGTCTATTTTAACTATAAATCTTAATCGCATCTATACTAAAATGGAGTGTCAACTTCCAGAATTCTTCATATGATCTTTTAATCAGAAGAAAACTCTAAACTCATATTTCATCATCTGTTGATCACCACTGTGAATAAGCTAGTATATAACCCTCCAGAATTACCGCCCTTAATATTGATATTTTTGGGGATTCTGTACTTGACACTCTTTTCCACTTTATATACCAGTAACTCTCAATTTTTAGTGTGAATAAGAATTGCCTGGGAAACTAACCACAGATTCCTAGGATTAATTCCAGAGAGTCTTAAGTCATTAGGTGAGGATAAGGCATAAATAAAGGTGTTGTAAACAAGCCTGCTGAGTGAGCACTCTGAGAAACATAGCTGCGCACATTTAACTAATGAAACCAATGGTTTCAACCGCCTGAACAGCAGAGTATATCTGCAACCTGACTTTAGTAAGGTATTTGAGGCTGTATTTCTAAATGCCTGTTTAACATTTTTTTTCCTCAATTTAAGGATGTTTATACCTGAACTCATCATTTCTCTCACTGTCTGGTTACATGGGCACCAAAATTCATCTAATTACCCAGCCAAAAACTGGAAAGTCATACTTGACTCCTCCATTTCTAGTGCATTTGTTCCTGGTCTTCTCATTTCTCCTCCTAAGTATCTCTCATTTTTCTCCTACCTTCCCTAGTTGTTCCTGTTCCCACTGCCACCAACTTAAATTCAGGCTGTCATTATTGCTCATTTAACTGTAATCTCGCAAATCTTAGTTTCCAGTGTTTCCTTTTCTCTTTCACCCTACTAATTTTTCTTATTGCTATTAGACTATTTTTTAATGAAAATTTTAGCTTCTCACTCCCTGCTGAAAAACCCTTCACTGCCTCCCCACAGACTTACAATCACCCAAACTCCCTAGCAGACCTTCATGATCCAAGCTTCTTTACTGGGCTGTCAGTTTACCCATTTCTTTATTTACCTGTCCTTACTTGTCTTTAGAAATCACCTCTCTCAGGAAACTGTTACTGCTTATTTGGTTCCAAGTCTACATTGAAATCCTTGCTGTCTGTTCCCATTAGATCCTGTGCATATATGAGTCATACACTTAGAATACAGTATTGTGATAATATATTTGCTTTTCTTCTCTATTAACTTAGGAGCTCTCAGAGGGCAACTTTTATTTCTTTTTGTTTCTACAATATCTGACATATATTGTCTTCAGAAATAGTAGTAGAATGAATAGATAATATGTCTAAATGTTACTTTTGCATTTTTTGAAAATTTATTTTTTATCATAAAATGACATTTCTCCATTGCCATCTTTATAAAGTTGAAGTAAATCTTTTGAAAATTTTTTAGACCTGAGTCAAAAATGAAAATTAGAAATCTAGAATAGTGCTTTACATAATAGAATTTTTTAATCCTTTTTGGAAAGATTTTATTTATTTATTTTTAGAGAGAGGGGGAGGGAGAAAGAGAGGGAGGAAAACATCAATGTGTGGTTGCCTCTCATGCACCCCCTACTGGGGACCTGGCCTGCAACCAGGCATGTGCCCTGACTGGGAATTGAACTCAGTACTCTGTAGTCTGCAGGCCAGTGCTTAATCTACTGAGTCACACCAGCCAGGGCTAAATTAATGGAATTTAAAGATGAAATATTTTATTTTTAGCCAGTAAGAATGCTTAACAGTCATTATATTTAAACTTGTAAAAAAAATGCAGAATACTTTAAATTGTATTTCTTTAGGGTAAGTTTCACAGCACCAGGAGGTATATCCTTGAGCTTTTAAATACAGAGAGTACATTTAAATATAATGTAAAGCTGACAGAAAAATAGAAGCTGTCCATCTTTGAGGAGCTGCGACATGACAGTTGTGTTAGTAAGTGTAGGCTAACTGCTGAAATAGAAGTGTAAGTTCAAACAGTAAACATTTATTAATCATGTAATAGTTCAGAATGTTTCTGTCTATGATTAGGAGTGGGACAGAGACTCTGTTCCTCACATTTATTCAAGGGCCCTCACTGACTGAGACTCTGCATCTTACCCAGAGTGGGTTTCTAAGAGTTATCTCCTAGGGATTACGTCTCCATTCCAATTAGCCAGTCAGAAAGTGGGAAGCGCATGGAGAAATACATGTGGAATTTTTTGAGCCAGTCTCGTATGTGGCCTACAACACTCCTGAACATATTCCATTGGTCACATTGCAGACATATGGCCACACTTAACAGCAGGCAACAGTTTTACACGGTAGCATTTTTATGTACTACGGCCATTTCTGCAGCAGGTATCTACATTCAGTTAGATAATATATCATAACTTTAAGTTACAATACTGTATAGAATCTAAGGTTAACTTTACCAGTAATATCATTGTAATTAAAAGAAACATGTTTATCTCTTCGTTTATACATTATATTATCAGCAGTTATTAAATGATCAAATCCATTTTTACACTCGATATTTCTTTAAGTTATTTCTTTCACATAATAGGGGTCAATTCAAATAAAGTGATATATAATTGATTTTTTCCTACTTAGCATTTGTCTATTCTGTGATAAGTTTCTGGATAACTCAGAGTTCTGTATTTCATTTCCCTCTTAAGGCATAAAATGAAGGCTAATACAGGTTTCAAGTGGACATCTATATTGTTTAGGTAATATCAGTGATATTTGATAATTAAGCAAGATGTACCAAGATAAATGATGTTAGCGAATAAAATGACAGTGTACAGAGCTATGATTTACACTAATTGTTTTCGATACCAGGACAGGCTCTGTTTCAGAGCTATTAAACTGAACTATTTGGAAGATTTATAGATCGTATCCTTGGTAACATTCATTCAGCTTTAAACAGGAAAAATAGATTTGAGGATTGTATTATCTATTGTCAAATTTAGTTCTAAAGTAATGAAGTTGATCTTGATTAAGCAGAAGACAAAAACGTGTGGCCGTATTTGCTAAGTAGTAATTGAATTTTCAGGAGGACTCTGTTAAGAATACAAAGGTCATTCTCTGAGCATTTCCTCAGTAATAAAAGTAACTTATGTAACTAAATACTACCTAATGAGAAAATAAGTAAAATGTACAAAATATGAGACTAAGGCTAATTTTGCTTGTGCTTAGAGTAAACTTATATTGAAGTGTTTTTTAAAGCTCTGTTGGAGGCTCATGATCTTTTACAGACAATTAAACATGGGCAGTCCACAACTTCTCACTCTACTCTCTTTTTACAGAGTGGTATCTTCTCCCAAGGCTTCTATAGGTAATAGATTTCTCCCTCTGAACTACACCTTTTTTATGCAAGATATACCCTCATGTTCAACTGCCTATTTAAAAGCAGGGAAGATTTGTCTTTGGGTGGTGAGCATAAATTGCAATGTACAGATGATGTATCATAGAATTGTGCACTTGAAGCCCATGATTTTATTAACCAATGTCATCCCAATAAATTTAACTTAAAATAAATTTAAAAAGAAAGACATCTAGGATATCTCAAAAACACCTTAAACTCATCATATCTAAGACTAAAAATCATGCTCTTTCACCTACACCTGATTCTCTGGTGTTTTCTATTTACATAGATGGCAGCACCAGCCAACCGAGTAAACCCAGGATACTAACTTTGACATTTCCTCTCCTCTGACCCCGTGTCTTATTTTCACAAAATTGTCGGTTTTACCTCTCAAATTGTAAACTTCCCCCTTTCTTTTCATCTATACTACAACCAACCACCCCGTCCTAGCCGCCATCATCTTTCACTTGTACAACACAGTTGCCTGCCCTCTGGTCATCCATTCTTGCCCTATCCAATTGCTTCATTTGTTTGTTTTCCATACTGTCATCAGACTCGTCTTTTCAAATGTAACTGTGAAAACTTACCTGTCTTTCCTAACTCCATGCCCAACTTTTCACTGACTTCCTGTCACTCCTAAACTAATAGTAGCAGTGTAATTAAATAAAGTCCTGCATTACCTAGTCAACCCCATCACACACAGTGCTTCCACTTGGTCTCCATGCCCCAGGTACATTGACTTTATTATTGATTTCATGAGGATGCTACCAAAAGGCTTTGGACATGCTATGTACCACCATTCTAGAATGTCTTGCCCTCTCCTTTTTACCTAATTAGGCCCTTCAGATGTCTACTCCACGCCATTTTCCCAGAGTCATCTTCTCTGATCTCTCTCCTTCTCCATGTCCCTTCTGACATTGATGATTGTTCTTTAAATACATTGGATTTACCTAATGTGTTCCTTCTTATTAGAGTAGAAGTTCCATGAAGGCAGGAATTGTGCCTGTTCTCTCCTTCCATTGTATTCCTACTGCCTGGCACAATGCATGGCTCATAAAAGGTATTCAGTAAGGATTTGCTCAATGAATGATGTGATGGAAACCAAACAGAAGTTTTGCTGAAAATATTTGTAGTAGATAAGACTAAAATTTAGCATATTTAATATCTCTGTATATGAATTACAGTAGTTATTTTATTCCTTTATTAAAGTGATATTTAAAGGTGACATAATGAAGCCCTGGGCAGGTAGTTCAGGCAGAGCATCATCATGATGCACCACAGTTGCAGTTTGATCCCTGATCAGGGCACACATACAAGAATCAACCAATAGATGCATCAAGAAGTGGAACAACAAATCAGTGTTTCTCTCTTTCTTCTTCCCTCCTTCTCTTACCCCCACTCTCTCTAAAATCAATAATTTTTTTGAAGATGTAATAGCCTGGCTGGTATGGCTCAGTGGTTTGAACACTGGCCTGTGAACCCAAAGGTCATGGGTTCGATTCCTGGTTTGGGCACATGCTTGGGTTGTGGGCCAGATTCCCAGTTGGAGGCATGTGAGAGGTAACTGATCTCTCACACATTGATAGTTATCTCCCTCTCTTTCTTGCTCTCTTTCCCTTTTTCTAAAAGTAAAGGAATCTTTTAAAAAAATCTTTTTAAAGTGACATAATAGAGACTTTTGAAAAATAATCATACTTTTAAAAAAAGATTATTTAAATTTATTTTTCGAAAGAAGGGAAAGGGGGAGAAAGAGCAGGAGAGAAACATTGTTTGAGAAACATACATCAGTTGCCTCTTGTATGTGCCCCAACCAGGGACCAAGCCCTGCAACCCAGGCATGTGCCCTGACCAGGAATCGAACTGATGACCTTTTGTTTTGCAGGATGTTACCTAACCAACTAAGCCACACCAATCAGGGTAATAATTATACACTTCTAAGAAAAGTAATTATAACTTTTTAAGTAATGCCCTCAAAACACTGAGGTGCATTTAGCAACATTTTCTGGAATGTAGTTGTGTAGTTTTTTCAGTTGGATTTTTCTCACTCTTTGTAATCAAATCTCTATTTACAGTCTTACTTTCCATCTCCCCAGACTTACACATGGTATACTGCAAATTTACAGAATTGCTCATATCTCTCCATTATACTACTGTGCATATATGGTTTACATAGGTGGAAATACATTCCTTTTCTTGTCATTGAATGACTCAGTCACAATTATCGTGTTTAAACCATCAAGTAGTTTGACTTAAGGCAATTGAAAAAAAGTCTTGTATAGAAAATTTCCACAGCTATTCATGTTTGAACTGTAAAATTCTATAGAATGAGCATATGATAAATAATTGACTCTGTAGTACTACTGACCCTGCACTTTATTTTATTACACTTTTTGGAATCACAGAAATTGGTTTCAAATCCCTCACTATCTATGTGAGCCTAGATAGGTTATGTAATTTCTCTAAATGTTGGTTACTTCACCTAAATAATGACTGAAAATTTGTCGGGAAGAATAAATAAAATAATGTGTGTAAAACACCTAGCAACACAGTTAAAAATATATGTTTATTATTTTAAAGTGTTAGGATTTCATGGCTGTGGACTTTATAATACCATGCTTCACTCAACTGTTACAAGTGTTAATAATAAGGTAATCTTTTGTAGTTCAGTCAGATTGGAGCTCACTTAGTACAGAATTTATACCTGACTTACTACAATTTTATTTATAACTATAATTCCTTCAGAAGTTCATTCTGCTTTTAAGCTGTTTATTAAATGATTTTAGGACTTGCTGGCATTTTGACATGTTTATAGCAAGCTGTGTAATCATTTTACCACTTGACACCAGTGAGGATACTGCAAAATTACATATTTTTCTTGAAAGAATAAAACAGCTACCTCAACCTGTGCCAACAAGAATTTAGTAAATTCCAAAGTAAACCACCTCTTTTTATTAGTAGTAGAGATGACTGGAAATATTAACTATATTGTTACATGTGAGGTTGTAATCCATGGTAGATTATAAAAGTTTAAATTCTGTTTAAAAATATTAATGGAACTGTACTTGAACAACAATTAAAATGAAATTAAAAGAAATATTAATGAATATAACATACCTGAGTAGTCATTTGCGATGACTACATAAATAGTTTTTCTTTCTTGGATGGCCTTATAGCCCTTTAATTTATCCTCACTTTCTTTTGTTATTAGGAAACTCTTAAAGCACCATATATTCTGTTTTTTTGAGAGCTATTTCTTCCATTTTTCTTTCTTCCATTTTTCTTAAAGACTGGGACAGGGAGAAATTACTTGAAGCTTGGATGTCCAACCCAGAGAACTGCTGCCAACGATCAGGTGTTCAAATGCCAACTCCGCCGCCAAGTGGGTGTAATGCCTGGGACACGCTCCCTTCGCCAAGGACTCCAAGAACTACACGCTCTTCTGTCACCTCTCCCGATGAAATCAGTTTATCTCCTGGGGATCTGGACACCAGTTTGGTATGGTTTGTTGCTCACTGTACTTCCCATAGTTCTGTATTTAACTTTTTAATTATTTAAAATTGTTTCATAGACCCTCTAGCCATATTCTTGTAATCAAATCCTTTACCTTTCTTAGAGGGTTCTATTGTTTCACTTGTACTTCGGTAAATATTTGTTATCACAGAATATTTTTGTGATCTCAGAATTACAGACTGAAAAACAAAGGTTTTCTTTTGTCATTTCAAAACAGAAAACATACAAAAGAGCTTAGGGAAACCACCTACTATATTTCCACTTAAAACTCTAGCTGCTTGGAGTTTTTAAACACCATACTGAAATATTAAAAGTAGATATGATAGGCACTTTAAACCAAGAATATGAAAACAAGTTTTATATTTTCTTCAAGACATTTATACTACCTAGACAATTATGTATTTGTTTTCGTAAAGCCTTTGGAGTTTGTCATCTAGATACATTTCTATAAAAATGTTATTAGAAACAAGATTGCCTTCATCTGCATTTTTAATTGGCATAACATTGGTGTACTGTTACAGGATATCTTGATGTTTGTTGAATGATTCAGCCACTCTAAATATGTGATAAAAGTGCTCCAGATTTTATCTAGGTCTCCTTTGAAAACAGATTTCTACTTTTGTAATTTGCATTTGTAACATTATAAAGTTTGCTTCTACTAAGTCATTGTTTAGAAGATACATAGTTTTATAGCTGAGTTCCCTGGGTAGAAATCCTTAAATTGCTAGTGTGAATACCCTGAGTTGCTATATGAAAAAACAAATATTCTGCTTTTCTAGATTTTCTAGGATGAGTGTAGGGTGAAGGACATAATATTGAAGTGGGTGTTTTGAAATGGGCAATTTGATCTTGACCTGAATAGATAATAATGATTTGTTTTTTGTACTTCCTTTTCCAAATACATACTCACTGATTAATGTAATAAATACATAAATTTCAAACGTAAGAGTTTGACTTTTGCATTGAAACATTCAAATTTCACAATCATTTATAATGAAGTAGGCATCTTGTTATTCAAAGGTAGGCTCACTAAATTTAAGTCACCCTTACAACTATGAAACATTAACCTTTTTATATTTACTATACTAGTATTTTTGTCTGAATCTAATGAACAAATGAATGTATTAGTTTCTCTCCAACATATGACTTTAACATATGACTTTGTTTAAATCATTGCTCATCTTCATTTCCAGTGTGACATCTGTATGTGCAGTATTTCTGTATTTGAAGACCCAGTGGATATGCCCTGTGGACATGACTTTTGTAGAGGATGTTGGGAGTCGTGAGTATATATGCAGCTTAGTATTTCTTACTACATGATAGCACTCTGGTTTGGTAATAAAATTGTTTTCTTTCAATAATTAATGATGTAGATTACAGAGCTATGCTGAAATATATTATACTTTACTAAGGAAGAATTTTATTTTTCTTATTTTAACATTCCCCATCATTAATTTAGTAAAATGATTTAATTTAGTAATTAGTGTTATTTAGCTTAATGTAAGGTAGTTTATGGAACAAAGCAGGTATATGCAAATACATTTTCTTAGTATCTTAATTACATAGAAATTTCAAGCCTATACCTAATATATTCCAAGAGTTTTTAAGCATCTATTTTTATGCTTGCTTTGAATTTTTTGTAACAAGCAAATAGCCTTGAAAATCTCTAAGAATGTGAATGTTTAAAATTCCCCTTTAACAATTCAAATTTTGATGTTTGTTGAATGATTTGGCCACTCAAAATATGTAATAAAAGTACTCCAGATTTTATCTAGGCCTTTTTATGTAGTTAAATGTTTCTGCTAGGCATGCTTGGGTATATATTACAAGTGGAAAACTTATTTTGCTTCTCATGTTTATTCTCCTTATTACCTTGCCAAGATTTATACTTTTCTCACATCCATTAACTTTGCTCTAATGTTGCACTTCTCAGGAGAGGTTTATGAACAAAATGAAGATCAGTATAATGAGCAGTACAACATCATGTTTTCTCTGGAGACACATAAATCTGCTGATTGATGATCTAAGCAAAGCATGTCGTTAGCATTTAAGGAAATCTTAAAAATTAGAAGTTTTCAAACTATTTTTTTTTAATGGAGTGTTGAGTATTAAGTTCAGGGAGCTGGGGAATACTACTTTGAGTGAGAGAGCAAGAACATAAAGCAAATTAAACAATTGGGCTGGGGTATGATTGACATACAGTAAATCACATATTTAAAATAAATAATTTGATTAGCTTTGGCATATGTATATACCCATGAACCATTACCACAATCAAGATAATGGCTATATCCATCATCCCCCAAAGTTTCCTCACTTCTCCTCAAAATCCCTCCAGCCCTTCTTTTTCTGCCTCTGGTCTCCCACCACCATCTTCTCCTTTCACTTCTGCAGGCAACACTGATCTCTTTTCTGTCACTCTAGGTTCATTTACATACATCTTTTTTCCAAAGTAGAATATGAGGCAAGATTTCATTTAGAGGGGAAAAAATAGTGCTTTTAAAAAAGACTAAATAAAAATACCTGATTGTTTATTTTAAAATATAGGCTAGACTCTATTCAGAGTCTAATTACATAGGATCCAGTCAGTACAGTTGATGCAGCTAAACTAATGGCAAGGGTCAGAGCTCGTAATCCAAAGTGAATCAGTAACTGTATTGTGTTAGGAAGTATGCGTTCTACCCGGATTGCTACTCTTGACCTTGGTTTTTATGTGAAAACAGACACACACCTCTCCCCCTGCCAGGAATTTACTTGAATTTTTTTTCAACTTCCTTGACCTTTCTTTCTTACCTAACTCCTGTCACAGAAATCATCTCCCATACATAGTCTTCATAGACTAGCCTGGAGAAGAGGTTAATGGTAAGATTTAAACTTGGAAGATCTGATTATTGTTTTCCATGGCACCTTATCAGCCTACCTAGAATTTTCCTACACAGTCCTGCCAGGCAGTTCTTGCCAAATCAAGCACCAGTAAAACAAGTTTCGGGTTGGGTGATTCATATGTTGATAAAGTCATTTTTAAATTGATTGCAGTCTTTTCATATCTCATAGGCATATAGAAAAGACACCCCTCTGTGTAAGAAGCAAGGAAGAATTTTTAAAGGTCCTTAGATAGCTTGAAAACTTCTCCATTTATCTTGGACTTCCCTACCCCCTCTCTCATCAGTCCAACCAGAAGCTTTGAAGCGTCTGTGCCAAGAGCTTAAGTGAAAGGGAAATTATTGTTTTCTACCCAACCTAGAATATTCTTCCTCCTACTTACTGGTTGTTGATTTAGTTAAGTGGTAACTGCCTTGTGCCTCAATTTTGTAATCTATAAAATGGTGATAATAGTAAGTACTTAATAGATTATTGTCGGTTTAGTGTTAAGTGGCTTCGTATATGTAAAATGCTTCGAACAGGGACAATCAATAAATGCTAGTTATTATCCCAAGCATGGTAAAAAGCAAAAGAGACCTATCTAGGATATAATCTGTGAAGCTGACCTACAAGATAAAAGTATAAATGAAGTTTGTCCCAGATTTCTCTTTCACTAACATTCATTAACTCCATGTTCTGCTTGGAAATTTAGTGGAAATGGTATTTGAATGAGGATTAAGAACATGGCTCACAGAGAAATTCTGTCTTCAGTGAGGTCTGCTCAGTTCTGTCATTTAATTCCCCAGAGGTAATGAAATTTGCACTGATTCATTTAAAATAAATAAAATTTAAAACATCTTCATAATAGTAACTGTGTCTAAGCAAGTTGTGTACCCGGTCAGGGGCCTGCAGCCATGTGCCACATAACCACATTTTGATCGATGAAGAACCACATATCAGTCAGTGTATGAAAGGGGTCCCTTAACACTATCATGGATTTTAAGAAAAAGTTCGTTTGTAATGCTGGAAGGAAAGGCTGAACCCGACTGTGATGTCAGATTCACTGCTCGCTGTGGGTGGTTTAAGTTGTTGAGATGTAGCATGTTGTCCCCCTGCTGCACGCCCACACATGCATGCACGCACGGACTCATTCCCCTTTCCTCCATTTCTCTCTCTCTTTCCTCCCAGACCTTTTCCTCCCTCTCCTCCCTTTCTTCTCTCTTCTTCCTCTCCCTCTTACTGTTTTCATCCCAAGCTTCATCTCTCTGGGTCTGTTTGGATCTCTGCTGTCCCTTTCTTTCCTCCTCACTTCCTTCCCTCTCCCTCCTCCTGACATCTACTCTCTCTCCAAAGTCACCTCCTTCCACAGCACCCCCATCCCATCAATGCTTGCACACACCGGTGCACACTTTTTATCTTTTATACTGTATTTTTACTGTGCCTTTTCTAGTCTTAGATATACAAATATTGACCATTATGTTATAATTGCTTATAATATTCAATACTACTTGCACAGGTGTGTAGCCTAGGAGCAATAGACTTATCATGTAGCATAGGTGTGTAGTAGGCTACACCATCTAAGTTTAGGTAAGTGCACTCCACAATGTTCACACAAGGGTGAAATCACTGGTTGACTCATTCTTCAGACTCTTCCTCCTTGTTAAGCTACACATGATTGTATAAGATAAATTATGTCCAACTTTCTAGGGAACCTCTGCATAACTAAAATTAAGAGATTCCTGTTATGTGAAAAAGGAACTCTACAATTAGCACTTCTCTTTTCGTCTCAAGATCCCTTTACACTTTTAAAAATTGTTGAAGATTCTAAAGAGCTTTTGTTTATATGGGCGATATCTTTCTATATATACTATATTAGAAATAAGCACTGTGAAAATTAGTATTTTAATCACTTTAAAATAATAAACCCATTGTCTATTAACATAAATAACATTTACTATGAATAATAACTATTTCCATTAAAATGGAAGTAAATCAGAAGAGTGGTATTGTTCTCCCTTTTTGGAAATCTCTTTAATGTCTTGCTTAATAAAAGACAGCTGTATTTTTATTACACAATATTTTTTTGGTCACACATATATAAAGAAAATCTGGCCTCACACTGATGTGCAGATGAAATGAGAGAAATATTCAGAGAAGTGTGGATACTCCTTGATACACATCAAAATCCAACAAATAGTAGTTTCTTAATGGTTAATTGCAGTGTAAAATCTAAAACCACATCAGTGGACTTTTATACTCTTACATTAAAATCCATTGGTCTGTGTTGCACTTTTCATAGCTCTTTTGCTCTTGCATGGTTTTGTAACATCATTTGGAAAATATTAATTTACTGGGTTATTCAGATCTTCCAATGTTAACATATTTTATACTATACATAAATATAGTAAAAAGTCACATTAGTTAATACCAGTCTCCAGAAAAGTCTCTAAATATTGGAAACCTGTGAAGCTCACAATAGCAAATAAGAATTTTTTTTGAAGGCTTGAATTTTATCATTGTCAACAAATACTCTCAACTTTTTCCCTTGATATACCAGATTTATTCATTTTCAAAAGTAGTTTATCATATAACCAAGTCTGAATAATAATTGTTTGTAGTCACTCTTTCAAAAAAAAAAATAGTGTTCCATGATAAAAGCAGGTAGGTCTCCTTGTAATTTGACAGATTTTAAGGGCTTTCCTTCAGACCGCCCTCCCGCTTTGGCATGCAGCAGAAGCTCATCATGCTTGCTTCCCGTTTCATTGCACAGAATTACCCAAGATACGTGTACTCAAGAGAAACATTAGTTGCCTCCTATACGCACCTCTACTGGGGATGCAACCCGCAACCTTTTAGTATACAGGACGATGCTCCAACCGACTGGGCCGCCCTGCCAAGGTGGCACCGGCAGTTTTAACCCAAAGTAAATGGGGTCTCAATATCATTTTGAAAATAGCATATGATCTTATTAACTGGTGTCACCCCAATAAATTTAATTTTTTAAAAATCTGATAGGGAAAGAGAGAGAAGGGATGGGGGAAGGGAGGAAATAGTTTCGACCTCATAAATCCCCTGGAAAGTCTCAGGAACCCTCACAGGTCCACATCTCACACTTTGAGAACAGCCACTCTATAGCATTTGCCCTGAATTCTTCATCCATCCTTCTGCCGAATTGTTTTTCCTGACACAGAGTAAAACAAATAATTTTAAGTGGTAACTAAGGTACCGAATGTCCTTCTATTGGAATATATCAGAGTTTTGTGGAGCCTGTATAGTTTTAAAACATTGAAAACAGAGGGGAAGATTTTAAACATGTTAAAGTTCAAATGCCTCTGGGGGTATTTGAACAAAAATGTATGTAATTAAGATCTATAACTAACAAGGGAGATCTGGGCTTGACCTTTCAGAGTCTTTAGCATATAGGTGGTAGTTTATGTTAGGGGCATTCAGATCACCCAGGAAGACTGTATGGACTAGGAAGGAAGAGTTTTGGCATGAAAACTCTAGGAAACACTAAAATATAAGTGATCAAAGAGAGTAAATGGCACTAGTAAAAGAGATGGACAAGGAGCAACCAAAGGTAAGAAGCATGCCAGGAAAAAAAGTTTAATAGTTCCGGGAGCCAGAGAGAATCTGAAAGAAGGAACTATTCAGCAGTGTCAGATGCTGAGAAGTTAAAGCAAAATAAAAGCTGAGAATTCTTGACTAGTTTGGCCTAAAGGGTAGTCTGTCTGTCTTTCTCTCTCTCTCTCTTTCTTTCTCTTCTTTCTTTCTTTTCTTTCTTTCTTTCTTTCTTTCTTTCTTTCTTTCTTTCTTTCTTCTTTAAAGATTTTTATTTATTTATCTTTAGAGGGGAAGGGAAGGAGAAAGGGGGAGAAGTATCAATGTGTGGTTGCCTCTTGAGCATCCCCTGCTAGGAACTGGCCTGCAACCCAGGCATGTGCCCTGATTGGGATTGAACCCCAGTTGTTAGGTTCACAGGCCTGCACTCAATCCACTGAGCTACACCAGCCAGGGCAAGGATAGTCTTTCTTGACAGAGGTTGGGCAGCGGAGGTGGGGGGAGAGAGAGAGAAACATCAGTTTGTTGTTCCACTCATTTATGCATTCATTGGTTGCTTCTTGTATGTACCCCAGCCAGAGATCGAACTTGGAGCCTTGGTGTAGTGGGACAGCACTGTAGTCAACTGACATACCTGGCCAGGGCTACTCATGGGTAGTCTTAATGGCCATGTTAAGATCCAGCCATTCAGTGAAGAAGTGATAGAAGCCGGTTGGTTTAGAAGTGAATAGATGACTTGAGGAAGGAACGACAGGTCATTGTGAAGTATTTTGATGTGAAAGGAAAACGCAATTAAAAAGAGTCATTTGGTTGAGAAAAGTTTTCAGAATGGATAAAACTTGAGCATGTTTATTGTGCCAAGGGTAAGAGACAGGAGACAGAGAGACAAGGGGGGGGGAGAGCAACAATAAAACCTTTGCTAAAATTTATGAATTTTTATTTGCCACCATGCAAATATTTTACATTATTTATATAATCAGTATAACAACCCGAGAAGTGCATGTTGTTATCTCCATTTTACAGATAGTAAAAGTGAGGTGCAAAACAGTGAAAATAAGTTAAGATCATGTAACTTGCTAGTGGCAGGCCTGGAAATCTGTCACTCAAAATCCTGTTCTTAACCATTTAATTTACCTTGGGCTAGTTTCCTGCCCCTTTCCAGGATGCTTTTCTCTTCTACCTCAACTAGTGTGACTAGAGTAGGACATGAAGCTTATTTTAATATTTCTCTTCACAAAATACAAGCAGAAAACCTTTTCTTCAAAAAGGCATGCTATTTCAGTACCACCCAAAATTTTCTTGAATTATGCATTGTTTAACCCTGTATGATTGCTCCCTTTTATTTAAAGGTATAGAATATTAAGAATTGAAGACATTTCTAAACCAGTTATTTCTGAATTTTTTTAATTAAATAAATATATTGTTTCAAATTTTAAAAGATAAAGCAGAACAAGGATCTATAAAACTATGTAAAACATACAAATACATGTGTGTATATTTTCATATATGTATAATGAATGACTTTGCACTTAATAAGTGTTCAATATTTGTAAATTATATCAGTCAGTATATTATAGTTGATTTGTTGGTGTTATTGTAATTATAGTCTAACAGAAGATTAAACATAGAAAAAAATCTTAGACTGTAAACAAATTATATTTTTATTTTTTATTAATTGATCATTTTAACAGATTTTTGAACCTGAAAATTCAAGAAGGTGAAGCTCACAACATTTTTTGCCCTGCATATGATTGCTTCCAACTTGTACCTGTGGATATCATAGAAAGTGTAGTTTCTAAGGAGATGGACAAGCGATACCTACAGTTTGATATTAAGGTATGCTAGCAATTATCTGTCCAATATCCATAATTTTAATTTTATGAAACCTGTATAACAGATTGTATTTAATATATTTGTTTTATTTTTTAAAACAAAAATTGCATAATGGAAATGCAATTTTCTTGTGTCTCAGAAAAATTGTATTAACAAATGGTAGCATTAATTAAAGTTTTAAGCTAAAGCGTTATTTTATAATCATGAAAGAGTAAAAGAAAAGCTAAGGTAGCAGTTTACCAAAGGAAATAAAACTATTGCTCAGAACCATTTACTGATTTGCCTATTGTATTTTTATAAGTGATTGATCAAAATAATATTCGAAGTAGATAGTACTACTTTAAGCTTTCCAAAAGGCATTATATTTTACACTCCTAAATATAAATATTTAGAAATAAAGGTCATAAACTTAGAAATTTATGGGGTTTTCTTCTACTTTCAATTAATAAATTTACTGTTTATTGCATCTTTTTTTCTATCTGTGTTTGTATTCAGCAGTTATTCAGGAGCATATGCAAGTTACTTTCTTTGTTGTATAAATTAAAAGTTACATTTTAAGTGCCTTGTGCGGAATTTTTGTTTTCTAAACCCTAATGTGTACACTTTTAAAAAAGAAGTTCTTTTGTTTCTTTAGATAAAAAGCATCATAATACTGATTTTTATGTATTATTAGGATGCCATTTAGAAATTCACTGTTCAAATGCAACTATTAATCATATGTAAGGTTCTATTTATAATTATGTTCATCAGAAAAGTTCCACACTATATGAGAACAATTTCTAAATTACACATTTTCTGCATGAATAATTGCATTTTTACTTAATCATTAGCATCTACACTCTGGTTTTTAAACTAAATAAAACATAAATTTAAAAATTATGTCATTACTAGGTAATTCCCACTTCTTTTCTTCTTGCTAAGTTGTTTCATGATTTCACTAATGTGTGGATCTCAAGGTCCAAACAAAATAGCAAGCAAAACAAAACAGAAACAGACTCAACAGATAAAGAGAACAAACTGATGGTTGCCAGAGGGGATGATGTTGGGGGAATAGGTGAAAAAGTTGAAAGGCACTAAGAGATACAAGTTTCCAGTTATAAAATAATTAAGTCACAGGTGTATAATGTACAGCATAGGAAATATAGTCAATATTGTATTAACTTTGTGCAGTGACAGAAGTTCCTAGAATTGTCATGGTGATCACAGATGTCAAATCGCTATGTCGTACACCTGAAACTAATATAATGAATGTCAATTATACTTTAAATAGCCCTGCCTGGTGTAGCTCAGTGGATTGAACGTGGGCCTGTGAACCAGACAATCTCGGTTCGATTCCCAGTCAGGGCACATGCCTGGGTTACAGACCTGTTCCCTGCAGGCCAGTTCCCAGCAGGAGATGCACAAAAGGCAACCATACATTGATGTTTATCTCCCTCCCTTCCCCTCTGAAGATAAATAAATAAAATCTTAAATAAATAAATAAATAATTGTTTCGCACTTGCTGCTACTATTTTAAGCATTTCAGACTGACTACACCTTGTTTATTATTTCACTCTTTTTTTGGCTTTAAAGTAAATTGATGTCAGAGCACGCTGTATTAGAATTTAGAGTTAAAATATTGATTGTTGTATTTTGTTATTGCTATTTAAACAGGCCTTTGTTGAAAATAATCCTGCCATTAAATGGTGTCCTACTCCAGGCTGCGAAAGAGCAGTCAGACTGACGAAACAAGGGTCAAATACATCTGGGTCTGATACGCTCAGCTTCCCTCTGCTCAGAGCTCCTGCCGTGGACTGCGGAAAAGGACACCTCTTCTGCTGGTCAGTGCAAGACAAGTGGGAAATCATCTTTCTCATAGGTTTTTTAAAGAGAGTTTGTACCTTGAGTCAGGCCTTTAAATTGTAGTGTTTGATACCATTCTTACTGATTTAAAAATGTGTATCAAATTTACATTTATTGTGTGCTTGATATGTGCAGAGCACTGTGCCAAATATTTTGATATATTGAGTTCTTCTGACTTTGCTGTGAGTTGAGTGCTGTTGTTATACCCATTTTGCAGATAAAGAAACTGGAGCACAGAGAAGTTGTCAGGGTTGTGAAGGTAGCATGTGGTGGAAGTGAGATTAGAGTGCACCTTTGTTTGCTTCCAGAGCCTGTGCACTTGAACTCTTAATATCAGATTGCTGGCCACAGACTAGAACATCTTCAGAGCTTCAGTGTTTTCCTTAAAGTAAAAGTCTCTAGCAGTGATTCTTAACCAGAGAGGCCCAGGTTACTAACACAACTTTTCTAAATTTTTATCCCAAACCACAGCAAAATTTTGACGCAGTAGGTTTTAGAGGAGGATTCTTAAAAAAAAAATAAAAAAAGCTTTTAGATGATTCTAATGCACAGTTCCCAATGGGAACCGCACTGTGTGTCTTTGTTTAGTTTCCAATGTCTGATAAGTCTTCAGTAAGTATGAACTGATGATAAATCAGTAATAGGAGGGCTGTGTAACCATGTATGTTTGTCTGACATCAGCATTTTAACTTTATTCAGAACAAATTAAATAAAACAAAATCAGCTTTTGTCTTATTTAATTAAATGATCAAAAAGAAATAGTATTTGTTCTGCTTTTTGCTCATTTATAGATTTGTCATATATGCAAGGATACACTTTAGATGCACATAATACTCTTTGTCTACTTATTACAAATTAAAATGGAATTGTAGCATTGCTATATAGTAAAAAGGCATAGTAATAAAATATTTCTACCCTGGAAGACTGGTTTCTCATCCTAGTCATTATTAGCATTAGCTAAAAATATTTCTTAACCTGACAATCCATAAATAGCACCAAACTCTAGGTCAAGTGTTACCAAACCACTATCCACACTAATTTTTAAAAATAAAGTTTTATTTATTCACTTCTGGCCAAGAGGGAGACATAGGTAGAAACACTGTGCCTCCTCGCACAACCAAAATTAAGGACAACAAAGATTTAGAAACAAAAACACCAGCAGAACAGACAGAATATTAAACTGTACAGAAGTCTGACAACCATTCACCCAGACCAATAAGAGTCAGCAGCTGGCAGAGAGGGATCACGGCAGGAAAAGGCAGTGGCAGCCAGACCTGGGAGCACAGGCAGCGCAGGGCTGGCCACGGTCACACATTCACACGCAGATAAACTAGGCAAAAAAAGGGCAGCAAGACAGACCACACAAACCAGGGCCTCAACGATGGGAAATAAAGCCTAAAAGCACCGATTGAAAAGTTGCCCGCCTGTGGGAAGCAGCAGAGAGGACTGAAATTGGAAGGAGAGTGGAACAAGCGAACATTGCTCCGTCTCTGACCCCGCCCCCAGTCACAACCCAGCAACTGGTTGACCCGCCCTGGTGAACACCTAAGCTTTTGCCCCTCATACATAACAGGCATGAACAGACCAAAACGTGGCTCAAGCAGAACAGCTCAAAGCCCCAGAGCCAATACTTCTAAAGGACAAAAAGATAGATAGCCAACCTATCAGATGCACAGTTCAAAATACTGGTGATCACGATGCTCACAGAACTGGTTGATGTTAGTCACCAATTAGATGAAAAAATGAAGGCTACACTAAATGAAATAAAGGAAAGTGCACAGAGAACCAATAGTGATAGAAAGAAAACTGGGACTCAAATCAATGGAGTGAACCAAAAAAGAAGAAAGAAACAACCAAACAGAAAAGAATGAAGAAACAAGAATTCAAAAAAATGAGGAGAGGCTTAGGAACCTCCAGGACATCTTTAAATGTTCCAACATCCGAATTACAGGGGTACCAGAAGAGGAAGAGCAACGAGTGGAAAACTTATTTGAACAAATAAGGAAGAAATTCCCCAGTCTGGCAAAGAAAATAGAATTCCAGGAAGTCCACGAAGCTCAGAGAGTCCCAAAGAAGGTAGATCCAAAGAGGAACACACCAAGCCCCATCATAATTACATTAGCCAAGATTAAAATGAAGGGGAGAATCCTAGAAGCAGTAAGAGATAAGAGGACAGTCACTTACAAAGGAGTTCCCATCAGACTGTCAGCTGATTTCTCAAAAGAGACCTTACAGGCAAGAAGGGGCTGGAAAGAAGTATTCCAAGTCATGAAAGGCAAGGACCTACATCCAAGATTGCTCTATCCAGCAAAGCTTTCATTTAGAATGGAAGGACAGATAAAGCACTTCTCAGATAAGGTCAAATTCAAGGAGTTCATCATCACCAAGCCCTTATTATATGAAATGTTAAAGGGACTTATCTAAGAAAAAGAAGATAAAAAAGATGAACAGTGAAAGGACAGCAAACTCACAGTTATTAACAACCACACCTAAAATAAAAGCAAACTAAACAGACACCTAAAACAGGAGCAGAGCCACAGAAATGGAGATCTCATGGAGGGTTAACAACAGGGGAGTAGGAGGAGGAGAAGGGGAGAAGCTACAGCGAATAAGTAGCATAGACGGTGGAGAGAAAATAGGGAGAGGGCAAGAATAGTATGGGAAATGTAGAAGCTAAAGAACTTACGACACATGGACATGAACTAAAGGGGGAGAATATGGGTGGGGGGGTGCAGGATGGAAGGGAATGAAGGGGGAAGGGGACAATTGTAATGGCATAATCAATAAAATATTTTTTAAAAAAGTTTTATTGGAACATAGCCACATTCTTCATTTTTACATTCATAGCTTCCTGCTATTATTCCTATAGTAGAGCTTTTTCTATAATCATAAATTACAAATATTTTTTAATTTTTAGTAGAATTCTGCTCTTCTCTAGTGTTTTAAAGAGAAGCATAGTCTGCTTCATGCAAAAGGAAGGTTTGCAAAAGAGATCTTTTTATATATTCCTCAAGATGATTATAAGAACTACACAAAATGGCAATAATAATTTCTTTTTAAGAACTGCATGTGACAAAAGCAGTTGAGAGTCACCCGCAAGAAATGTCTGCCTGAATACAACTGCATGTATTCATTGTTACGAGGGAAGGTAGGAATAGGCATTTATTTCCCTTCCCACCACAAGGTAGCCCTTTCTATTATAAATTGTCCATCAACCAGTTCTGGACCCTTCATAACTGGACCTAGAATGCTTTCCCCTCCGCCTGTAGAATTGCATTTTGTCTCATCTCAACAGCATTACCCCTAGACAGCATTCGAACCTGGATGGACTCTCATCTCACTTGAGCCAGTGACCTTCTCCCCTCAGATTTTCTTTTTATTAAGTAGATTATGCTACTACTTCTTTGCCCTCTGAACTAACACAAAGTCTTTCTTAATTAAGTCTTCAAAGATTTGTTGTCAGAAGTAATCCTTGGCCACCAAAATCTTAACTTGTAAGAACTCAAAATTGACCTTGCAAAGTGGTTATTTTCTCTTGAATGTCTCCTGGTCCCTTTTATCACCGGTATCTCTTTTGGAAACTGAGAAACTTACTTGAACTTCATCTCTTCTAGATCTATAGAAGTCAAACATATTTTAGAGTTATTCACTAAAATTGCCTGGCAAGAGTATTCTCAATAGTAAAATGGTGAGGTTTGTAATATTTAACACAACTATGTAGCATTTATTTACTGAAACTATGCCTCTAAAGTAGTGTCGCCATAACCGTGAAACAATATTTGAACCCCTGATAGGAAAGCTTGAATCACGGTACACCTGGTGAGAAATCAGTGTCAAGTTTCTAGTCCACTTAACCTTCCAGTAATGTGTAGGCTTGTCAAATGTTTGGGGAAACTTTGAAAGTGAATGTCTTGGCCTTAAAATTGTCATCATCTCGTTCTGTTTTTGTCCAATACCCAGGATAAGGATTTTGATAACACATCCTCCCTCGGATGTGAATCTTGATTGAGTTAAAGTGGTAGTTTCATGCTTCATCTCTTTCTCCATAGACTTCACAGAAGAAGAGACTCTTTAAAAGAGTCCACTGGGCAAAGTAAATGAGGTTGTCCTTATTTGTGGCCTAATAGTTGAGTCTCATCTTCTCTTGCATAATCAGTCTGAAACTCTTAGCTTAATAGCTCTGGTTCTGGAAATAAAGATTTTTCCAGTCTGGCAGCATTCAGCTATTTAAGTAGCAAAGTCCTTCCAGCTAACAGAACATTCCTCAACCCTTTCTAGGCCAGGAATTAAAACAAGATGCTATTTATTTGGTAGAGATCAATAATAAGACCCCATTTAAATATCATGTTCTTTATATACAGTAGCATGCCCATCTAAATACAGGTTTTCCCCACTACCCTAAAGTAGGGCTGAATAAGCAGAAATGGCATAAAGAAGCAGTTACCATTAATTTATATGGGGAAATTTTGAGTGTTCATTCATAGGTTTCATAGCCTATAAAGTCATATCAAATAACACATAGAACCTAAAGTAGCACTAACATGTAATAAAAGCAGTGCCACCCCTGCTGCTCCGGGTACATGCTGCAGAACAAACCCTGCATGCTATTTTCACTTGTTGCCTTTTTTTTATTGTTCTGCCAATGGTTGTGTGTATTGACACACTTTCAAGTAAAGAGCTGTCCCTTGGTCTCCTGATACTAGTTAACCATCATATTTAGACAAGGTTAAGGATTTTAGGTAAGACAACCATTTTTTTTTCTTTGTAATTTCTTACTAAGCACCTATTTCTTGAATGAACCGAACCCACTCTATTAGCGTCTCTAAATTTCAGTTGACTTATGTGCCAGAATTTCCCTTACAAAAGGGCAAAATACAGTGTCAGAACACCGTATTCTTGCCATGCATAATGTGCACTTTCTTGCCCAAATTTTTGAGGGAAAAATAAGGATGCACATCATACATGGGTACTACTAATTCTGTATCCATAGAAATGTTTTTAATTATTTATACTTGTGCATTAAAAGTGTAACTCCAGAAACAGTAACAGTATCCGTATGTTTGAAAATAAATGCTAAAATTCCTTTATAATACAAAAAGTATCTAAATATAAATAAATAAGTAATTGAATTTAAAAATTAAAATGAAAGATTTTTTCCTGAAAGTTTGGACCAAAAATGTGGGTGCACATTATACATGGCAAAAGTGCTTGTTACCAGTCATTGTTGTCTTGGTTAAAAACTTTCTTTAGGAATTTAGGCTTCAGTTACCTGCAGAACAGGTAACTGTTCTTGTGTACATTTTAGGACCTTGTAGGTCTCTTCAGTGAAGTCTCCCATGAAGCTGGGAGTTCCTCCCACCGCCTCAACCCCCACAGGTTTTTTAAAGCCAGAGGTTTTGAGGCTTTATTTCTCTGCACCGGAACCCTGGGTTGCAAAGCCTGCCTCACTCCCCAGTTGTTCTCCCAGCTTATCCACACACAAATGTGGGACCACCAGCCACCCCCTTGCCTGCCCCAGTCTTCCAGCCGCCACCTTGCTACCTCGCTGTGTGTCCTCTCCACCCCTCCTCCCAGTCTGGATGAATGTTTCTTCTTTAACTCCTTGGTTACTGGACTTCCATACGGTTCCATCTTCTGACAGTTCTGGTTGTTTCTTTTAAATTTTTTGCCCTTTTTTTGGTTGCGCGAGGTAAAGTGTATCTATCTTTGCCTCCGTCTTGGCCAGAAGTCCTAGAAAGTCTTAAACTTAATGGAAATAATTTATTTCATTGACTTTATTTGATTTGTTTTAGGTACTATAAATATGTAAGGCTTTTCTACATCTTAATTTTTGTTTTAAATGAGTCACAAGGAATGCAGATTCTAGGAAACCCTGCCCTTCCATCCGTGGTATCTTTCTAATACTAGTGTATGGTAGTATATGTGCCAATTAAAAATCAACAGTTATTACAAATATTTTTTACAGTTCTGGAAAGGAGAATTTATTTTGATATGTATTAAAGTAAATTTAATATATCTACTTCCCTTTTTAATCAAACCAGTATGTTTTTGATTGATTTAGAGGGAGCGAGGGAAACATCGATGTGTTGTTCCACTTATTCATTTGTTCCTTGGTTGACTCTCAATATGTGCCCTGATGGGGATCGAACCCTCAACCTTGGCATATCAGGACGACACTCTTAACCAGTTGAGCTACCAGCCAGGGCAACCCAATAATTTTTTGAATGACTGTTAAATTACCACTGAGTTAATGAAGAACTCTATAATAAACTGCATTTTCGGAAAAGATTTCCCAAATGCCAGCTTTGGTGATATCAAGAACTTAGGGAAACTAAAGTATTTTCAAAGTAACTGGTTCCTGTTGTCTCTTCTTTAAACCATTTTTAAGTACGCAGTTCAAGTACGCGTTGGTACTAAATACATTCACAATGTTGTGCATTTTCAGAACTTTTCCTCTTCCCAAACAGAACCTCTGTATCCATTAAGCAGCCACTCTCCATCCTCCCTCCCCTTTAGCTACTGGTAAACACCATTCTACTTTCCGTCTCTATGAATTCCCCTATTCTAAATATTTAATATAATTGGATTCATACAATATTTGTCCTTTTGTATCTGGCTTATTTCACTTAGCAGAATGCCTCTAATGTCTCAAGATTCATCCACATTACAATGTGTATGTATCATGGGTCAAAATTTCATTCCTATTTTTATTGCTGGCTAATGTTCCATTGTGTGTGTGTACATACTGCATTTTGTTTATTCTTCTGTGAGTGACACTTGGGTTGCTCCCATCCTTTTGCTGTTGTGAATAATGCTGTTATGAACATTGGTGTTAGAGTATGAGTCCTTGGTGTCTTTTAGATGCATACCTAGAGGTGGAATTGCTAGATCATACGTGATAATTTCGTTTAACATTTTGAGGAACCACCAAACTGCTTCCCATAGCAGCTACATCATTTTACATTCCTACCAGCAACGCACAAGAGTTTTTCTCTTTTTCCGTGTCCTCTCCAACACTTGTTACTTCTCACTTTTTTAAATAGTAGCCATCCTAATGGGTATGAAGTAGAATTGGTACATTCCTAATATAGTAAATGTTACTTCTTAGTTTGTGAGACTCTGTCTGAGTCAGGAGGTGTGTCTTAACAAACTTAAACTTTTCAAATAAGATCTTTATTTAAAATAACAATAACAGTCCCCTGACCAGTGTGGCCCAGTTGATTGGGCATCGTCCTGCAAAGCAAAACCCAGCCAGGCCACATGCCCAGGTGGCAGGTTTGGTCCCCTGGTCAAGGCACATACAAGAGGCAACTGATTGATGTTTCTCACATGGATGTTTCTCATCCTCGCTTTTCCCCTTTTTTCCCTCTTTCTCTAGAAATGAATAAAATCTGTAAAAAATAAAATAACAATAATGATAACCACTGCAGATTAGGTCTTTCTCACCCCAAAATGATATGTTATTATTTTTTAAACTACTGATAACATTTTCTTGGATTTCTTTTAGGCTTTTCTAAGAATATATATGCATTTGTGAAATCAGAACTATTCTTTATATAAAGTTTACATCCAGCTTTTCAACATATGTTGTGACCATTTTCACATTATGTCTCATCTTTGGTTTGTTACTTTCCCTGCCAAATTATATAAATTTCAGTTTTGTTAATGTGTTTCCCAATCATATAATACTAAGTTCATTTCAGTGGTGTCTACCAACATTAAAAGGAATTTTTCTAGATATTTTATTATTAACTGTAGTAATTACCTTTGCTCTATACAATATAGCATATTGAATTAAAACAAATAATTTGTAAATGCTTTAGGCCCTTTTTAATGTTTGATTTTATGTAGTGATAGAATATACAATTAATTTACAAATGATAAATCAATATTTTTTAACTATTTACACCAAAATTTGCCAAAATTCAGTGAAACAGAAAGTTGGGAATTCATCAGACTCAGAAGTAAATTAGGTTGCCCTAGTTGTTAGTTGGGGATTCAGAAGTAAAAGTAATGACACAGTGTAATATAAAATAGCATTTCTCAAATTTTAAAATGCAGAACGGCCATGAGATAATATTGATAAAATGCATATTCTAATCATTAGGTGTAGTGGGGCCTGCTCCTCTGTGTTTTTAACAAGCTCCCGAGTAAAGATAACGCTGCTAGCCAGACAAACACTGGCTAGCCAACACTTCGAGTTGCAAGAATTTAAAGTATTAATGAGGACAGAACCTAACTGGTAAAAATATATTGTATAGTTCTTAAAGCATGCAAAAATAAATTGTAAGTATTAGGTAGTTTATTTGGAATTTTTTTAATGTGTAAATGAATATACCAGTTAAAAGGAAAAACTAACCTGTTGGAATTAAGCTTCAGAATCATATTTTTAATTCCTCTATTGAAATACTTCATTTCTCAGTGGTCGCTGTATCTGTTTCTTCAACTTTACAGTTGAAAGAGTTACTTTCTGCCTATTCTTTTACTCCAGTGTTGATGAAGACTATTTTACAATTGTCTTTTTCATGTTTCCCTCTTTAGGGAGTGCCTTGGTGAAGCACATGAGCCTTGTGATTGCCAAACATGGAAAAATTGGCTACAAAAAATAACTGAAATGAAACCAGAAGAACGTAAGAGGAATTTTAGATAGCTATGCTACACATTTTCTAATAGCATACAAAACATAATGTCATATTTCTTAGAGTCTTCATTTAAGAAATGTTCAGGTTTGTTAATGGAGTTCCCATCTGTAACATCACCCTTTTGATCAACATGCTTTTGGGGGCGACAGGTTTTTTGCGAGAGGGAGTCATAACCAAGTTCCACATTTCCAAGTGACTTACTTCCTAAGACAGACCAGGTAAACAGGAGCCCCATTTAAGCCTCCTACCACTGCCTTCCCTATTATTCTGGGGTAGGCCAACTAACTTCTCTGTCCTTTATGGGAAGAAATGTATGGTCTGTAGTGAGAGGAAGCTTATTTCCCTGGAAGCTTCCAGTGAGTAGTGAGACAAATTAATTTCTTACTAATGTGGTTCTGTGGACTTACATTGTCATGTCTATAGTTGTTTTTACTAAGACTTCTATAAATTTATTACTCTGTCAGTTCTCACAGAAATGCTATGAGATTGATATTAGGAATCTCATTTTACAGTGTAGGAAACTTACATTGTATTGAGTGACAGGAGGCACAGGTCTGGTGAGCAGAAATTAGCCTTCCTGCATTTGACAAGTAAATATATCTGCTTTATAATAAGTTTTATCCCCTGAGTGTTTTATGGTGACTATTTTCTTTCAAATTAATATAAATGAAACTTATATTAGGGCTTTTTTCTTCACTTTTTAGATAATGGAGTTAGTTTGAGGTGTTGCAAATCAAGATTATGAATTTGCTCAGTCATTGTATATTTACAATGAGCAAAATACATAATAAAGATGATGCCATCCTTCAGAGTGCAGAGGCTAGAAGGGAAGCAGATATTTGCAACATCATATGATGGCTAATACAGGGTGGGGCAAAAGTAGGTTTACAGTTGTGAATACACGAAACAGATTAATTCTTGTATTATACTTTATTATTATATAATTTTCCATACAAACAACTCTAAACCTACTTTTGCCCCACCCTCTATAGTTGGGTAAAGATAGGAGGACAAAAGAAGAAAAAGGTAAGAGTATAAAAACAAGAACAACTAAATCAGATCAGGGGATGGAATGTCAGAGAAGCTTCCTGAAGACAGTGAAATATTAATGGGGTTTTAGCATATCTGCAGAGGCAAAGATGTGGCAGGTTTGCATGTCAGCAGCTGAAGTGACGCTGGGGGACTGGCTGGCAGCCATGAGACCTGTTACAGGCTTCTGTTATGTTATGCAGTAGACCATGGCCCGAGAACTGTTTCTCAGCATTTTTCAGGTTCACAAGAATTCATTTTGTGCACCGACTCAGGGCTATTCAGATGCATGGAAAGAGACTACCATGTAAAAGAGAATGCCAGTTTATTAATTGCTAATGAACGAGGTTCCTTTCACATGATGAGAAAACTCACATCCTTATCCAGAAGCAAAGGGAAATGGATAATCCCAGGATATTTTATAATGAGGTCTGACTAAATATTTCTGTCCTGTACATTCATCATTCAATTAACATTTTTTTCAGTACCTGTTATGTGCTACGCACTTCCCAAATCAAAAACACCTGTATAGATTGTTCCTGTACTCCAGATTTATCATGTCTTTCTCTTGAAAGTCAGATAATAGCTTGTTGTTGCTTTCTCAATACCTGCCCATTTTCCCCATTCTTCATATAGGTGTGGGTCTGTATACATGTGTGAATTCCATCAATAGATTAATACCATTTCCTACAGCACCTTTAAGCATGATGACACAATTGGATTTTGCTTTCTTTTCCTGCTTCTGCCACCTAGAGACATCTATGTTTCTATTAGAGATGGCTTGCTATTGTACGCATACCTACTTTTTTTTATTCGTATCTGTGGAGCTTAAGGTTAAGGTCCGTGGGAGAAAATTGCAAGAGATGAGCATGGAAAGATAGGTGTTGCCAGATTCTGAGGGTTCTTGCCAAACTGTGTGAATTTATCCAAGTAACAAGCCATAAAATACACTTAAAAACTAGGGGTGTGTGATTATCAAAGATATTTTTATCAAAATAGACAACTAGAAAGGATAGACTGTAGGAGAAAGAGACCAGAAAGAGGACAGCGGATTTTCAGTTTGGGTCCAATGGTGGATTGTGGTGTCATTGGTCAACTAAGGAAATTCAGATAAAGGAGTAATGTTCAAGGGGAAATGATGAGTTTTGCTGTGGGCATTTTGAACTTGAGGTACTTTCAAGTCATATATCAAAAGATGTTTAGTAGAATTTTAAAAATTCCCTACAGCTCAGAGGAGATATTGAGAAAATGTAGAAGTCACTTATTACCTTTAAATGGTATCTTCATGATTTATTTAACACTTTTAACTGCTATTTTATGTTTGAATACAGAAGAAAGATATCCTCTATGCTCTTGAAATGTACATTTTAGAGATGGCAACAGCTGTATACAAAACTAAGAAAAAAGAGCTGTGAATGTAAATGCTGTGAGAGAACAGTGCACCTGTGGTACATTATGTGGATGGGGAGGGACAAAGGAGAGGATTAGAAAAAGCTGTATAAAAGACTTGAAGCTAAGCTGCATTTTGAAAGCCAGTAGATGTCCTTCACAGAGACCAGAATTGGAAGGGCTTCCGAGGCATAGGACGGAGGAGGGCTTTGAAGCAGCACGGTGTGTTCAAGGACTGCACACAGCTGGGTACAGCCGGTGCAAAGGAAGGTACACCGAGATATCAGACTGCACAGGCACAAGTCCAAATTGGGTCTGGGCTGGGATTAAATTCAGTCCTGGGAGGTCTGGCATTATCCTGAGACACTGAAAAAGTAGATGTTGCCAGATTGTGAGGATTCTTGCCAAATAGTCTGAATTTATCCTGGTAATAAGCCATAGAAAGAGGTTTTTAAAATAGGGAAGTGGCACTATCAGAGATATTTTTACCAAAATAGACAACTAGGGTAGACTGAAGGGGAGTGATAAGGAGTTGAGTAGGAGAGTAATAACTGAAGATACTAGGTAGATCACTTGGGCAGAAGTGTGGATGATGAGTTAGGGACTATTGAAACACTAGATAAGAGCACTGTTTCTGAGATGACTTCAGAATGTCCAAGTGAGAGGATGTAAGAGCTTGAGCAAGACAGACAATGGAAATGGGAGAGGAGAGGTGTATGCCAGAGAGTTAAGATGTCATTATGTGAAAATCAAGTGTACTCACTAGTTGCCTGAAAGAGTTAATGTACCACAAGGAGTAATTAGTACAGTATGTAATTTAATTCTTTAATAGAAAGTGTCCAGAAGTGTTTGATTGGAGATGTAAAGCAAATATTTTGAAATGGGTGATTATTTTCTCTTGTTCCTTGTAATTCTGAAGTTGGATCAATTATTCCATATCTACTAGTAAGTTTTTACTAGGGGAAGAGAGGGAGAACAACCTGGTCAGTGAGCCCATATTATTGGTGGCACTATGACAGAACATCCTTGATCACGAGAGTGATCCTGACAGTGAGGAAGGAAATAGGATAGTGTCCATGGTGTATGCATGGTTACTTCTGGCTGCCAGAGATAGGGGCACCTCAAATTAAAGGCTGAGGATCATTCTCAAAAAGTTCCAAATAGGGTTTTAACACAGAGGAACTTCAGAAAACTGGATAGGAGTCAGGAGACGGAGGATACCTGATTAGTGGTCTGCCAGAGGAAACAAGGCACGACTGCAAAGAATGTTCCCAGTCGCCCTCCACACTAAAGGTGTTGACCAGTAGACTGTTACGATGGCCTCTTAGGTTCACAAAATTTAGGGTGAGGCTTGAAGCAAACAGTAATAGGCCAGTATAATACTTAAGTAGAACATCATCATTAAATATACAAAAACAATATTAAAAAAGCAAAAGTATGATTAAATGCTCTATTGAGTTTACATATTACCTTGGCTCATGATCTCATGTCTGGTATGAACATTTTCAAACAAACTTAGATTCATGAGAAAGATTTATCCCTTACGCCCAGTTTTCCAGACTTACTGAATTTATCAGACTCAACAGGAGCAACAAAGTCTAAGTAATGAGAAAAAGTATTAGAAAGTAAACATCAGTTTAAATCATTAATTCCACATTCAGATACTGTTTTAAGTTCTGGAACTGCCTCTAGTTTGCCTAATCAAAGCAAGAAGCAGAAATTTCACCATTTTCTGTGAAATTATGGTTAGTTTATAAAAGTATCAAACTGATGCTCTCATAGTACATAATAAATAAATGGTCAATGGAATTCAGATCATCTTTTTGAGAATTCAGTCTTTAAAAAGAACTTTGTTTTTACTTTCATACATGTCGACTCTGCTAATGGGTCTTGGGTTCTATTATACACCAATATTTGATTATATGAAGTTAATATTTCTTAGAAATCTAAGCATACAAGATTATAAAGGAAAGAATGTCAAGGTTTAATAGACATGTAACTAAGTGAAGAGTATGAAAGTCACTGTGAGTGAAGAAGAGTCGCCAGGTAGACTGAAGGGAGATACCGTATTGCAAGTATGAAGAAGAGTATGTACAAAGGGCAGGTGTGCAAAATGAGCATGTTCAGAAACTTGGAAGTGAAGGCTTGTATTCCCACACACGTTTTTGTTGCAATAATAGTCACTCCCTGAACATGATTTACTTAATGCAATCCACTAGAATGCAGTTAGGAATTAGCATTCTCTCCAAGGGTGGGAGAAAAACACTGTTATGTTGCAGGCCACACAGCTGCTTTGTTTTAATGGCTTTGTGCTTTATTTATTATAACAATAGACAATAAAGGTCATAAGAATGTGTGAGAGCCTCTGAGCTAAAAATAATGTTGATGCTGAAGGGAAGAGAAAGGCCACTACATGTAAACAAAAAGTAGACATTTGTACTTAGTGATTAGTTTTACAGTAACACCCTTCGTAAGTGGTGTTACCTCTCCAGCTTGACCTTTTGACCATAAGTGTAGTAGTACATTCCTTCTGAAACTCCTGTTTTCCACCAATTATCTCAGAATTCTCTCCACTGACATCCTAATCAAACCATCATCTGCCAGGTGGGTTTTGAACTGGAGTGGAGTCTGATCACTTCATTATTGCTGTTGTTTTCTTTGCTGTGTGGAATTGAAAACCATTGCTTTACAGTCCAGCAGTAGAGCTACTATTAGATTGTTGACACAAATTTAAGGGTTCCTGGTGGCAAGACAGCCCCCCTCCTCTACTGCTGGGCTCCATCAGAGGGCTGCTCCCAGTCTCAGCTGTTCCAGTTCGTATACAGAGCCAGTTCCCAGGGTTCGGTCAGCTCCAGCCTTTGCTGCCTTCCCTCTCCTGGGATTTGTATCTGAGGGGGTGGGTAACTTTTCCTTTTAAGCTTCAAAACTCAAAACATCTGATTATTCCCCTGCTTTTAACATTAGGGCCAACTCCTTACCTTCTAAGAGAGTGTCTGCATATAATCAGAGCCTTGAGTGGATGGGTACTTTCAATTAATCTAACGTGATTTTCTGACATCTCTTTCAGTAAAGAAAACATAGGTTTCCCTGAGCATGTAGAGTTTTTTGTTTGTTTTTTTTGATTACTGACCTTACAGGAAAAAATAAGTTTTTAATTGTGCATCACCAACTCTCCCCAGCCCCTAACTCTCTTTACTGGGGAGGAAAAGTTTACAGAATATAAAATATCAATTTTACGATAGAAATCATGGCATTTCTTATGATTGTTGATCTTAATTTTTGTAGGATAAATTGAGTTTAATACAGAGCATAAGGTTACTGTGGGAGAGAGGTTGAGAGAACCTTACCAGATAGTCAGTGGCCAGATCATGCAGGGTTTTATATTCTTTGTTAAAGCAATTTGACTACTTTATGTTGTAGTCAGTAGTAGTCAGTGGGGAGCACTAAAAGATCTGAAGCAGATTTGTGTTTTAAAGACATTACTGTTTAGGATGTATTCTGGGAATTGGGAGGAGGGAGATGGAACTGCAGAGATAGGTTGGTTTTCTGTGTTTTAATTGTCTAGGCAAGAGGTGTGGAGGATTCTGGCTAAAGCAGCAAAATTGGAATTGGAGAGAAACAGGTATGGAAAAGAGGCAGAGTCAGTGGGACGTGGTGGGTGAGAGTAAGAGAAGGGTGTGTCCAAGATCACGTGCCATCCTGGATCAACTCGGGGTACACGATCATATCATTTACCGGGATGGGGATGGAGAAAGCAAGTTTGGGGCAGTGATAAGTTTAGTTTTAGACATGTCATATTGGATTTATTTTTAGCTTATCTGAAATAATTATGGGTAAAAAAGTGTTGATATTTCAATATAATGTACATGTTTTTTACTACGAGGAAAACTTTATGTGTATAACTGGTCTACTCCAGAAATTATTGTCTAAAGTAACCATTCTTCCTATAATTTTCTTTGATGCAATGGTTAATTGTAGCAGAGAATAACAATGTGTTTTGTTTTGGTTTTTTTTACTTTGGGTTTTTTCTTCCCCAGTTTATTTGTACACAAGTTTAGGAAGAAATCTCCTTTAAATTAGTTTTCATAAATAGAGCTTTAGAATACAGCTTCTTACCCTACAGTCATGCCATTTAAAATGAACCAATTTTAAAATTTTGCCACAGAGCCTAATTGAAAAAGAAATATAAGAAATACATGATTAAAATTGAGAGACAACTTGCAAAGAACACTTGGGTGTTTTTTTCCTGTTATTGTACACTAAATCGTTTATTTTTGTATTTGTGCTTAATATCCCAAAGTGGTGGGAGTTAGTGAAGCTTATGAGGATGCTGCCAACTGTCTCTGGTTGTTAACTAACTCCAAGCCATGTGCTAACTGCAAGTCTCCAATACAGAAGAATGAGGGATGCAATCACATGCAGTGTGCTAAGGTAAGAAGTTATAAATAAAAAGCATTAAGAAAGCAAAAAAAGTTAAAGAGGATTTTCAGTGTTTTGCAGTTGGAATCTTAATTTGATTATAATCAAAAGAAGAAATGTTGTACACATAAAAATCTTTTGGGGTTTCAGATGGATTCTAAGAGACTGCATTCTGCTTTCTTTGTTGAGTAACTTAAGTATTAATTCATAGTACTAAACTTTACACTCATGGTGAATGTTAAAAATAAGAGTAAGGGTTCAGTGGCATTTGGCCAGAAGATCAGAAATGCCTGAGTCCTTCCCTGCCAGTCACTGTCCCCAGTGAGAATCCTAGGAGTTTAGTGTGTGTATAAATAATGATAGTAAACGATAGAGAGCTACCGTATACGGATCTCTTGCAAACCTGGTTTCGGAGCACATGGCGTAGATTCAAAGTCATAACCAGGTCCTAGGCAATCTCTGTAAGTTCAAATCTTAAATCTTGGTGTCTATATATAGATGTGTGTGTAATAAAGGTACCCAAAGCAGCAGGCAGACTTTAAGTCACTGATGAAACTGTCAAATAATTAATCTATTACTATATTAAAAATGAAAATGCCAATAAAAACCTACTTGGCTGAAAAACAATTAATATAAATAATTACTCTTAGAAAGCTACCCTCCTGGCTTAGTTGCATGGAAAGAAATGACCATATTTAAAACAAATATTCTGCAAATCAGGTTAATAATATTTTATTAATTCATGCCTTACACTTATGAACAGTTTTTAAAATTGTAATGATAGTTCAATAATTTTCTTTTTATTGGAAGTGCCATGTATATAAAGGATATTTAAAATTATTGAGAGAAAGCCAATGTAATTTCTGTAATTAGGATGGGAAAAAAACCCAAATAGTTAAGAAGATTTTAATAAAATATAGCAATATCTTCTTTCTACATATTACTTGGTTTTTAACCTTGAAATTAATTGTTGTTACTACTATGACTTTAAAAATAATGTCAGTTAACCAATGATTTTTACAAGCCTAGAGCACTAGAAAATTAACATAACAAATTGGCTTACTGAGACAGTAATAGTAATTTCCTGAGTGGCAAGAAGAAAAACCTAGTACGGCATTCTGAGTCAAATGTTCAAAAGTGCTTATTATTTCAGCTGACTAGGCCAAAATTGTTTCATTTACTTTGTGGTCTTATCTCCAACATCTGTATTAGTTTTCCCTGGAAACTTTGGTACAGACGACATAGGTGCGTGAAGAAATACAGGTTGGCCATGCAACTCAGCAGCTGGGCTGCTAACAGGGGCGCAGGATCCAGCGTTACCATTATTTCACTCATAGCACCTACCAGTAGTAGGTACTTGATAAATATGCATTTAGTGAGTGGACTTTTTCATGAATTAATCAGACTAATGCTATCAGGTAGTATATTTTAAACAGATTTTTTGCTTAAGCTTCTGTTGCATTTTTTAAAAATTCCTTACATACTATGTAAATTAGTAGTCTTGTTTGATATACCATCTAAAAATATTTTGCACTAAAACAAAAACTGAACAAGTAAATTTTTTATTTTACTTTTTTAAAATTTAACTATAGTTGGTATACAGAATTATATTAGCTTCAGGTGTACAACATGGTGATTCAGTATTTATATATCTTACAATATGATGACACTAATGGTTTTTACTTTCTGGAATCAGATTGTTAAATACATGTATAAAGGACCCATGGACAAAGCTAAAGGGGGGTAGGAATGATGGTGGGGATGGGTGGGGTGGGGGACAGTGGTGGAGGGGAAATGTAGGCAGCTGTACTTGAACAAAAATTAAAAAGTAAAAAAAAATTTTTAAGCCTCACCCCTAGCAGACCTATGCCAATTGGCCTAATATAGGTAAAGTCCGTAGAACAATACCTGGACCATATGTAGTACTGAATAAATGCTTATTATTATGATTATTATCCATTAAATAAATAAGAAATTGGGCCCTGTAAAAGTAAGTTAATTTGTTTTTTAAGAACTCCTTATTCTATCCATTATCCTTTAGATAATTTAATGAGATTATTTAAATTTTGCATTCTTAACATTTAAAAATTGTAATGTATTTTTATTGAATGTATTGGGATTACACTGATTTAATTAAATAAGTTTCAAGTACACGATTCGCTAATATCATCTGTATATTTGTATTATGTATTTACCACCCATAGTCTGGTCTCTGTGCACCACCATTTACCCCCACTTCACTCCGTTCTCCCTCACCCACCCCACGCCTGCTGGTGGTCACCACACTATTGTCTGTGTCTCCGAGGTTTCCTTTTGGTTTTTTTTGGTGAGGGGAGCATTGCTTAAACCTGTCACCTATTTCAGACATGTTAAATCGCTTAGTAATTTTCTTTACCTGACTCTGTAAAACTGTGTGCTGCAACTAAATAAAAATTACTCCAATTCTATTTTCTTTTTCTTATCATAGAATATAAAATGTGGCTCTTTGGTAGAAAGTTTTGCCATTAATTCCAAGAGGTCAGTAAGGCTGCACTGAAGGGTACTTGTATCAAATCAGGCACAAAGTTTGCTTGTGCTAGGCAACAACAGAACTGTCAGAGCCTTGAAACACGCACAGTTTATTGTGTGAGCACATGTTTGTGAAAGGACAGATGAGTAGAGACTTTAATTCAGCTCTCTGTTCATGACATGTCACATAGACAAAAAAATAGAGAAGACAACATAATTAGTAAGGTACATCTGACTGCTCTATCCAAACTCCATATCCTAAAAATCCCTACTATGCCATCTTCTCGAGTACCCATGTAGCATTCCCAAAATACTGACCATTGATCATCAAAGAAAATCCCAGTAATATTCTAGAAAATAGAAAACAGTATAAGCAACTTTGTGTGGTCATAATGGAATTATGCAAATTAATAACGTTACCAAAGGCATTTTCATTGAGGAATTTTAAATCTCTTGAACGACTTCAGCGGGGGGGAAAAAAGGAAATTCAAGAATTTCTAGGAAACTGGAACAATGAAAATACTATTTTATCAGAACCTGGGGGCTGTAGCTAAAGCAATGCTCAGAATGTACACAGCCTTATTTACTTAAAACAATACAAAATAAAGAATGAATTAATGATATGACTTAAAATTAGAAAAACAAAAATACTGGAAGAAAACCAGAAAGAAAGATTTTTTTAAGTAGTGAATTAAAAATTGAAAAACAATACAACTAATAAATCCAAACAGTAGTTTCTGAAGAAAAAATAAGATAAACCACTAAGCTTACATAATAAAAAAGGAGTAAGGGAGTTCAAATATACAATAATAAGATACAAGGGGAATAATCAATAAAGCAAACTGAAATAGCGAGGTAACTTGACTCAGCTCTTGAAGATAAACTTAAAATTGGGTTTGAAATGGATTTTCTAAGAAAACATAATTTTATTAAAACTGACCCTAGAAAGGCTACTCAAACAAACCTGTTTTCACAGAAGGTATTTCAGTGATCTCCCTACTTTAAAACTATAGGTCCCAACAGTTTTACAATAGAATTTTATCAGACCTTTAAAGAGCAGGTAATTCCAATGTGATTTAAACTGTTTCTGGGAGTTAAAGATAAGGAAACTTCCAAATTATTATTATAAGGTGAGTAGAACCTTGATATCAGCACTTAACAAGACTATTGAAACTGAAAGAAAAGTGTAGATAAATCTTACAAATATAAATACATAAGTCCTATTAAGATAATAGATGGAGAAAAACCCATAGGTATTAGCCAGCGTCCAGCAGAGTACATAAAAGAGTAATTGACCATCAATTAAAAAGCAATAAAAATATATTTAAATAGAAAGAGTAATTGACCACGTGGGTTTTACTTCCGGAATACGAGAATGGTTTGATATTTAAAAGTTATTGCTGTACCTCATCTTATTAGTAAAGTCATGGAGAAAAAATCATGTAATTTCTATAGATGCTAAAAAGTCATTTGACCCCCCAAAATTAACAACCATTTTTTTAAGAAGGAAGAGGAGAAAGAGAGGGAGAGAGCCGGACCCCAAACCCAGGCTGACACCACCCAGCCAGGGTTTTATAGAGAAAGAGAGGGAGAGAAACATCAATTGGTTGCTACTTACACATGCCCTGGCTGGGAATCAAACCTGTGATCTTTCACTTTGTGGTACAGTGCCCAACCCTCTGAGCCACACTAATTAGGGCAGCAACCATCATTTATAAGACAGTCAAAGAAGTAGGAATAGACAGCCCTGGCCAGGTCGCTAAGTTGGTTGGCACATCATCCCATGCACTAAAAGGCTGCAGGTTCGATTCCAGTCAGGGTGTACACCTAGGTTGCATGTTTGATCCCTGGGTGGGGCACATGTGGGAGGCAGCCCATCAGTATGTCTCTGTCCCTCTCACCCTTCCCTTTCTTTAAAGTCAATAAATAGATCCTCAGGTTAGGATTTTAAAGAAATAAGGACAGACGGTATCTCCCTTAGTATAATAAAAAGGAAGTCTACTTCAGTCCAAAAGTTAACATGGTATTTGCGAGGAAGCTAGAAGTACCGTTATTAAAATCAAGAACAAAATAAAGGTGCTCTCCGTGACAAATAGTATTAATGATGGATTGGAGATACCAGTTAATATAATTAGACAGTGGGAAGGAATCAGAGGTGTAAAAAATAGAAACAAAGTAATAAAATTATCATTTTTTACAGACAGCATGATTACATACTCAAAAAACCCACAGAATCAACTGAAAAACAACTACAAAAACCAAAATTTAATTAACATTACAAAATTAAGAAGCATAAAGTACTAGCCTTTATTTATACCAACAAGCCCCAGATAGAATATATACTGAAAGAGAAGGCCTCATTTATCTAGAAAGAAACTTAATTAACACATATGAGGTGTATGACATATGGAGAAAATTGTAAGACCCCTTTCTGTAGGACACAGAGGATGACAAATGAAAAGATAACAAAGGTCTAGGATAGAAAGATTCCAACAAAAATACCAATAGGTGTTTGTGTCTGCATCTAGATAAGCTAATTGAAAAGTTCATAGGGAAAAACAAACCAAGAATAGCTATAAAAACTCTGAAAAAGAACAATGAGGAGGAAGAAGCCTTATCAATAGTAAGCCATATTATAAAGGCTCAATAATCAAAACAGCACAGTGTTGGCACAAGTATCTACAGATCAGTGGAACAGAATAGGAAGCAAGCCCACGGATGGAACTGGAGAGCATTATGCTGAGTGAAATAAGCCAGGCAGTGAAAGACAAGTACCACATGATCTCTCCTATAAGTAGAACCAAATAACAAAACAAACAAGCAAGCAAAATATAACCAGAGACATCGAAGTAAAGAACAAACTGACAGTAACCAGGGGTGGGTAGAAGGATAATAGGGGGAGGGCCACCAAGGACCATGTATAAAGGACCCGTGGACAAAGCCAAAGCAGGTAGATTCCAGGGTGGCAGGTGGGGATGGGGCAGGGGGGTATGGTGGGGTGAAAATGGAGACAGCGGTCCTTGAACAACAATAAATAAATGAAAGAAAGAAAGCAAGCCCAGAAAATAGGCACAGATTCATGGGAGTGTAATCTGTGGCGGAGGAGGCATCTCTCTTAACTGTCGGGTAAACCTGCACTGTTCAGTAAATGGCAGTGAGATAACTGGACAGCTTTGTGGAAAAAAATGAATTTATGCTGTGTCCTGTATATGCAGAAAAAATATAAACAGCTCAAAGATTTACATTTTTAGAAAAAGGAAAATAGACCTGAAGTACCAGGAGAAAGCATAGCCTTGGAATGGGAAGATCTTCCTGACATAAAACCCATAAGCATAAAAAAAGGAGGGGGTGCATTTTCATACTGGAATGTTCATTTGTTGGCATTGTCTAATAAGTGTGGCACTTTGAGAATCAGCATTTCTTAAAAATGAGAAACAGGATTTATGTCAGCTGTTCTAAGAGACCTTTAAACTTGTTCCCAGTTTCAAAACCAACTTGTCAAAGTTACCAGATGTTTTCACATAGACTGGTGGAGCTTCGTAGATTACCATGCACTTAAAAACTAAACATTTTTCAGTATGTCTTTTTATTATTTGGAAAGAATACATACCCTTTGATATTTTTAAAGATTCCTTGAGATTATTCATAATATCATGACTTAAATTTAACTTATTTCTGAAAGCAATAATTTTAAACTAATGTGACATCTTTCCTAATAGTGCAGATAATGCCTCCAGAGGAAACATGGAAAAAAAAAAGGTGTGTCTCTAAGAAGATTTGTGCCTGGTCACACAGGCAGAATTGTTTAATCCCTGCAAACTGGTAGACGAGAAATCAGAAAACAGCTCGAATATTAACATGTAGAGATGTTTACATATATGTTTTCTTTTGAAGTGCAAGTACGACTTTTGCTGGATTTGCCTAGAAGAATGGAAAAAGCATAGCTCTTCCACAGGCGGGTATTACAGATGCACTCGCTATGAGGTCATCCAGCACGTGGAGGAGCAGTCCAAGGAGATGACCGTGGAGGTAAAGAGAACTGTTTCAGCCAGCACTTCTGGCTAAGCCACTTAATACCATTGCAAGTATTTTGCATTTCTTCTTTTCCCATCTTCATTGTAATGAGGCATGAAGTCAAATACACTTTAGCATAGCCTTTAATTTAAACAAAATAACTTTATAAACTTGAGCTTTTTAAACAAATTTTCCTTTTTTTATATTGAAGATAAGTCTTATGTATTCCAGCCTTTCTCTACAGTGACTTAAAACAATTTTTTTAATTATAGTTGACATACAATAGTGTATTAGTTTCAGGTATACAGCATGGTGATTCAACATTTATATACCATATGATGTGATCACCACAGTAAGTTTAGTAACTGTCACCATACAGAGTTATTATGATATTGACTATATTTTCTTTACTGTGCATTATATCCCCATGACAAAAATAATGCTAACATAATGTCAACAATACAATGTTATGTTATAGCATATAGTAAATATCTTGGTCTGCTTGGCTGCCATGACAAAATATCATAGCTAGGTGGGTTAAACCCAGAAATTTATTTCTCACAGTTCTGGAGACTAGGAAGTACAAGATCAATGTTCTTGCCCATTCACATTTCTGGTGACGACTCTTCCTGGCCTGCAGAAAGCTCTCTTTTTTGCTGTGTCCTCACATGTGGAGAGAAAGCTCTGGTGTCTTCCTCTTACAAGGGCACCAGTTCTGTGGGATTAGGGCCCGTCCTGATAACGGTTATCACCTCACAGGCCCTCTCTCCAAATACACTCACATTGGTGTTAGGGCTTCAACACGAATTTGGGGGGACCACAATTCAGTTCATAGTAATAAGCAATGTAACTAAGCAGGGAAGATACGATAAGCATAGGGCTGGTGAGACATCTCTGCCTTCCACTCTGGGATTGTGGATTCAGAGCTTTGTCACAGAAAGTACAAATTCAGGGCTTTGTTCTGGGAGCCTTAAGTGTATTGGTTATTATTTTTTCTCAATAAAATAGTCAACAAATCTGTGTGCATTAGTATCTATTACTAATAAAATCTTTTAAGTGGTCAAAAAAACCAATTTTAAGAGCTAGTACTTTTATTTGTAAAAGTCATTTACGGAGTTTTGTTTCCTAGGCTGAGAAGAAACACAAACGGTTTCAGGAACTTGACAGATTTATGCACTATTACACAAGATTTAAAAACCATGAGCATAGCTATCAGGTAAGTCCCCAGTCATTTCAAATGCACTGAATTACACCGTTGTGAATAAATAAAGAGAACGATATAAATTATTTATTTCTGTTTCTTTAGTTAGAACAACGCCTTCTTAAAACAGCCAAAGAAAAGATGGAGCAACTGAGTAGAGCTCTCAAAGAAAGTAAGTTGTAAGTGGCGTGTGTGATAATCAATGTAAATAGCCTTCAGTGCTTATTAAGTCAGTCACTCCATTGGTAGGAAGTTAAGGCTTTTAAAGAAATACATTATCTCCATCAGCTCATTTTGGTTCTGTTGGAGTTCTCTGAAGCCCAGAGTGCAGTTTAGCATTTGAGGCCTCTGTGATTAGATTTTCCACCCGGCTTACCTCATCTCCTCTTAATTCAGCCTCCCCTGTTAGCAGATGCACACGTCATGGTTTTGCTTACTCGGTACCGCTGTTAATGCTTGGTGCTCTCCAATGTTGGGAAAGGTGGATGGCCCCTATTGTCATCCCTGACCTAGTCAAAAGAACAAGATTTGAGTGCCACCCAATTGTTGTGGGTCTAAATTCCCAAAGAGTCTTGAAAAAATTTACCAGAGTACCTAGTGGAATGGAAATCAAGGACAGTTTGGGGAGAAATCATCCCACTGGTAAATAACAGACACTGGGGGCAAAAAACAAAAAGACATGAGATAGGACAAACTTAAGGATCATAAAATGGAAGTTCAAAAAGAACATTCCTAAAAATGGATTGAGTACTGGTCACATTATCAGAATATAATATCTTACAATGACCACACAGAGCACTGGCATGCCACAGGTTCTGGCATGTTTTAATCACATTTTTAAAATAGTAGAGCTTGTATATAAAAGGTAGTAAGCCTAAAATTGTAATCAGTTGTACATGTATTTTCTCCAGTTTATAAAAGTAACAAGTACTAATACCCTTTTCATGATGATAATTCCCCAATTAAGATAATAACCATATACATTAATAGCTTAGTCTCCTTACTAATTATGTCTCCTTGCTCCTTAGTCTCCTTACTGAAGTTGCTAGACTTTAGCAGTGATGTAACTGTATCACTCCAATATCGAATTGTCCATGGTTGAAATCGAAAAGAGAACCCTCACAGGCTCTACAGTTCTTCAGCAGGGATTTTCGTCTGTTTCGTCACCAGTGTATTCCTAATGCTGAGAACAGTGCTTAACGCACAGGACACATTCAGTAAATACCTGTAGATGTGAACTACCGTTTCCATTCAGTCTTCTACGGGCTCTAGATATGAAAGAGAACTGAAATGTACAGGATTGGAAAGGAAGAAACACAGCTTCACGGACTTCTCACTGATCACAATGTGGAAGGGGGTGTTTGTTTTGTTTCATTCGTTTTTCTTTTTTTACATCTTAATTCAGATACGTACGCTAGGGTTGGTATTTGGGGCTGGTATGTATTTTATTGTGTGTACATACCCATGTGATTTCTTTCTACAGATGTGCAGAATAATCTATTTTCAAAAGTACTCATGAATTTAGATTCTACTGCTTAATTTCGATTTTTTTTGTAGTTAAGGAAAGGCCTATAATATTTTGGGAAAGAACAGTCTCAGATATGAAAGCAGTTTCTTCTTCCCTCCTCCTTACTCTTCCTTCATTTCCCTCACGTTTTCTGTTCACTAGCATTAGTTATTTAGTTGTCCAGAATGAGTTATATTAGTTATCCAGAATGTTGTGTTTTTTACTCCCCTATAAGGTTATTTTTATAGAGGCATAACTATAATTTGGCTCTTTTTTTTTTTTTTTTTTAAGCAAGACTTTAGTTAGCAAAGTCTCACCAGTGATAACCTAAACAACTTGGTAAAGCATGGGACCTTTGAGTTGACCTAAAGCTTTAGATTTGTTTGCCAGCGGAGTGAGAATGGAATGTCGAATTGGCGTATGTGCTCCTTCCCGACTGCTGTCAGTATCCTGGGCAGGGTGTGTTTTATTTATAAATGCAGACAAGTCACATATGAGTATGTTGTAGGGGTTTTTAGTCTAGTTCAAATAAATACAATTCTACAGCCACTTCAGGCTGTTTCTTAGGGATCCTCGTTTGTTTTTTTGTTTTGTTTTGTTTTGTTTTTAAGAAAATTCAGTGGTATAATTAATTTTATAATAGCATATTTGCAAAAAATTGTTTTCACTGTGCCTGATTCACTTCATAGCTGAAGGAGGCTGTCCAGATACCACTTTCATTGAAGACGCAGTTCACGTGCTCTTAAAAACTCGCCGCATTCTCAAGTGTTCTTATCCCTATGGATTTTTCTTAGAACCTAAAAGCACAAAAAAAGAAATTTTTGAACTCATGCAAGTAAGATATCCTTTTTAAATTAAATTTAAATGCAGTTATTATGAAAAACAAGTTTTCTCCTTCTTCAACCACTTCATTAAGTTTTAACTTATTTAGTGGGAGTAGTAAACAGTTTTATTTTCATTTTTATGATGGTTTTTAAATAAAGGTTTACCAGTGATAAACTGAAATTTTCCTTATGTTTGAATTTCTCATTCTGCAGATCTGAATGAATTCTCAGCTATGCAAACATTTCCTATCACGTTTTAAATTCTTTGTTTTAAGCTGGTTGAGGTTGAAACATAGCCTAATCCAAATTACATAATTAAGGATTTTATCTTCAAAACTGATAAAGTATATATTACTTACTAAATGGGAAAGTTGGTATTTACCCGTTTATTTTAAGAGTACAGCTTAAAAAAATTACAGTACTTAAAAACAAAAACACATATGTCAACTGACATCTCTGTAACTGACCAACTTCATTGTACATTACTCTATTTTTTTGCACCATACTTTCTCTTGCTAGTTTTTGTCATCCCTTTGAATTGCCCCCTACTAATTCATATCCTATATTTCTTTTCAATTTTCAGTATTCGTTTTCTTCATAAAGCCTTTCTAGCCTAGCCCCAAATCACAGGGACCCTGCCTTGCTGCAGATTTTCAGGCATTTCAATGTTGTCTGTACCACATGTCATGCATTTGCATACACAGTGCAAGACTTGAAGTTCAGTAGTTGTTTTTTTTTTTATGTAGACAAATTATAAATTCCTTGTACATAGCTGGTATGCTCACTGCTTCTTTGCAATTCATACCAGCTACATTGCTGTAAACACCTGGCAAATGGGTGCTGTTTTCCTGCAATGTGAGAAATAGAAACATGTTAAATACAAAGTTATTTCAAAGTTTGGAATAGTTTCTGACTTTAGAAGAGTTAGAGTTCATTGAGAAACCAGATAGACTCTGGATTGACTATTTGGATTTGCTGTTGACTCATCCACCAGCCTATAATCTTTTTTTTCTCTTCTTACCATAGACAGACCTAGAAATGGTCACTGAAGACCTTGCCCAAAAAGTTAATAGGCCTTACCTTCGCACACCCCGCCACAAGATTATCAAGGCAGCATGCCTGGTCCAGCAGAAGAGGCAGGAGTTCCTGGCATCCGTGGCTCGGGGGGTTGCTCCTGCAGACTCACCGGAAGCTCCAAGGCGCAGGTAAAAGGGATGCACATTGTGGAAACCATCCTAACTCCAGCCTCAAATGCCAGCAGGTTTATTTTTTTGTCCAACTAGGTTTTATAATACCTCAAATGTGGATAGCTGATGAAAGTATAGTAGCTTCTTTTTGGTGATTTCCCTCAAGTACTACTTCTGTTTTTCTCATTTTTTTGTTTGTCACTGTGTAGTTTCTCACTAAATTAGGCTAGTTGAGCTTCACACTTCAGTGAACTCGTAATTCAAAGAATATGCCAGTGTGTCACTTTAAATAAGTAATATATGTAGTGTTGTGATATCCATAAACATCTCATGTTGTAATATTTGGAAGCCTTGCCAACTTGTCATGGATATATTTGTAAGAGGTGAAGAAATTAGTAGTAAATTAATAAAGTTATTTAATGATCTATATTAGTAAAGTTATTTAAGAGATCTATATCATCCACTAAAGAGAAGGTGAATTCGGTTGTTTCAGTACTTATACTATGGGAGGGAATTTCAGGGGAAAAAGGGGAAGGATTTACAGGAACTAGTATAAAAAACACATGGACAGATACTTATACTACTAATGCCGTTATAAAGTATACCTTTTTCATTCATGATAATTACAAGCATTAGAAATTCCTTTGACCTGTTTTTACATCAACATGTATAATTTAAAAATAGAAGCAGTCATAAAAGTCTGTTGTAGCATGGTTATTTTAATTTTTCTACCATTTTACACAAACATAAAGTAACTTAGAATTTGAAAGAAAAAAATGAAAGTATCACTTTAATTATATTCTATAGTTAATCTACTTTGGGTCAGCAAGTTCCAATCCAAGTAGAGGAATTAAAAGTAGTGCTTAAAGGGCAAGGATCTGGTAGTTTGTATTCTTTAGTACTGATAATAAATCAAATGGTATGTCTAATTTCTTTGTAGCTTTGCTGGTGGAACATGGGATTGGGAATATTTAGGATTTGCATCGCCTGAGGTAATTGTTTTATGGGGGGTTTGTTTTATTTTATTATATTTTCCCTTAGCACAACCCTGCTTCTATCTGCACCCTCTTCTATTCTAAATCCTGAGGTTGTCAGCATTGTTTTTTCTTTCACTTATAATAAAAATGCCTCTGCAGGGCCTACATTTAGTCATTTATGGCCTTAGATTATTAAATGCATCTCTCCTGTTACTATTTTTAATTACTGAACAGTCAGCATTAAGGTCAATTTATATCTCGTATTTTTGGAAAATATCTTCCAATTGATTAACAGAGATACAAATTTTATCTATTAGAAATGCACATTTCTAGTTGTAAAATTGTTTCATTCTGAACCTGGTCTTAAAAGTTATTGCAATAACCTGAGAGAATTGATATATAATCAGCCGCTAAGGTGGAAACTTGACATCAATAGTGTTTATGCAGAAAGAAATGCTTAGCTTAGTTGCTTTCTGCTTCTCTTTAAGATTTTCACATTCTTCTTTTTTTCTTTGTTGTTATTATATGCCACTCTAAAGTACAGAAGTTGTAAAATGCACTGCAAATAGTAGTTGCCACAAATAAAAATATAATAGAGTGAAAATCTTAATCGCATTGCAATTTTCTGAGATTTAAATTGCCACTGTCACTGTTGAGTCTGATTTTTAAATGGTTTTAGCATTTCTTTCTAACTTTGTCTTCTTCCTTGTTCATTTATACCATCCAATGCTTATGTTATAATAAACTTTTAACTTTAATTCTGGATGGGGGCAGAACAATGAATGTCTTGTTTATCATTTATAGCCCATTTGTTATCTTCAACTGAAAGACAGTGAAAGTGATTATTATCTGGAAATGACCGTGGCTCATTTAAATCAGATAGCTTTCTCGTTTCAGCTGCTGCGGATACTTGCAATCACCTTGTAGCCTTTTGTATTGGTAGATGCATCTAAGAAAATACTGACTTGAGAAAACAGTTTGTGGTTAGAGCTCTGATAGGAAATTTTAAATTGACTTAAATTACCCCCCCCAAATTTTTATAGCTAATATCTTAATGAAATGTCTGTTGTAAAACAGACAGTGAACCCTTCCTTTACCTGATCCATGCTTCTTATTTCTATGTTATAATTACAGCTTTGGGGATATTGGGAGAAATGTCCACATAAAAGAAGGAATAAAAGCTTCAATTATCAAAAAAGAGAGAGAGAGAATACTAAAGCTTTCAGAATTTGAAGGTAGAACCACAATTTAGCAAAAATAACTTACTGGCATGGTCACCGTCATGTGTGCGCCACCATGGCTCCTGGCTCATAGTGACACCAGGAATCCGAAAATACTTGACCTTGACTGTTGAGGGCCTGGTAATATGACTGAAGCAGATTTATTTTGTAAAAAATAGGAAAGCTTGCCACCTCACATGTGAGTATTTACAAATGAAATTGTTGAGCTTTTATTCTCTAGAGATTGAGAATTGTGAAAGTATAAATAACAGTTTCTTCATAAATTTATTTTTTATGAGTTAATAACATTTTACAGGGATTATTTAACTCACTTTTACTTTTCTCTGAGTCTTTGGCACGTTGAGACACCAAGCTTTTATCTATACCTTATTACAGGTATAAAGAATCACCCCTCAGTGTGAAACTCTAAAAGTTTGCATGTATGCAACTAGGAAGTAACTGCCAGAATTTTATCTTTAAGAGTTAGCTTCATGCCTTATATACACTTTGGGAAAAAATGCTGTCAAACTCCAGTAGACTTTTATATTTTTTCCAGTAAAGTTAAATCCATCTTATTCTTTTTTAATTACACCGCATGGGTCAGTGGCCAGCATCGGTATTTGCTTTGTGCCACTTCAGGGGCAGAGGAGCCCCGGGGAAAGAGCGTAACCGGAAGTCTGCAGGCCGCCTGAACGCAGGCCCGGCTCTGCAACTTCCCAGCCCGAGGGCTGTTCCCTTCTGTACTTTCTTCAGAATGGGGGTGGTGACGTCATGGGGGATTCCGGCAGGATCAGAGCATGTCTTTACGTCACTGACAAAACTGGTGCTCCGTAAACTGTAGTTACTATTTAAAACAAATATCCTAGCAGCTTTTTTCCCTCTAAATCTTAGGGTCTCTTCATCTTCTCTGTAGCCTTAACACTCTTCAAAACATTTGGAACATCCCAACTAAAGTTTTTTCATGTGCTTACCTGAAGATCTTAGGAATCCTTGGAAATTTTCAGATAAGTTTAATTTTATGAGAGCAAATTTTTTAAGCCTATTGCATCCCGAGAGAATGCCATGTGAGTTTTTCATCAGAAAAATTATATAATAGATTTATCCTAGGCTTCCAGGCAAAGAGGATATTCTAGAGAATATCCTAGGCTTCCAGGCTTCTGAGACCCTCTTTGGCTATATTTATACAATCCTAAAACTATATTCAGCCCTTTGAAGGCAACCATGAGGCTGATGTGGCCCCCGGTGAAGATGAGTTTGACCCCCTTGGCCTAAATAATGCCCCCAGGCACTTGTATCATCTGTGCATTTGTACCTAATGTGGCAGGATGCCTGTCACTCTTACTAGAGTCCAGCTGCTTATGCAGATGAAGGAGTTTAAATAAATTTAACCTGAGTGACATGACATGGAAGTTTTATTTGTAATGTAAAACTTTTGTTTATTTTAGTGTTTTCACAATATACGTATATTGAGTACTCGAGGGTAACCAAGATAAACATAGACCTGAGTATCCTAGAGCTTATCACTGAAAGAATCTATAATGATTCCCAGAATTAGCCTTCTTGCCTTGGTGTCACGCCCACTGGCCTCTTTTCTCATACCTTGTGTCACTAAAATCTGGTCCTGCCCTTTGCAATAGCAAACCCACTTTAAACTGTTACTGCAGATGTAAAATGAACTCAGGGACATCTGCCCAAATTGTGTTCTTCCCATTTGTGAAATAGAAAACACTTCCCCCTGCCTGTCTTGTAGATAGCCCCACATGTTAGCTAATACAGGGAGGAAGCCAAGCAGCATCTCGTTCTAAAGCTAACCTCACACCTTCCCCTAATCTAGTCATTTGACCTGTGAGTGTGATATTCTAGCCCCACAAAATATAAAGTCTAACAGTCTGACATGCACTTAACAGTGTGGGCTTTTCTTTCTTTCTCGTGTATCTATCACAGTCACTTCTTAACAACCAGACCTCCAGGGAGGTCCCAACTTCCATTAGTCAGACCATCACAGGAGCAGTTAGACTACTAAGTAACAAGACCCAGGCACAGGAAATGTGGCTCAGTTGAGATCTAGCCTTGGAGCTTGCAAGTATTCCCAGTTTACCCAGGCAGTTGTACTGACTGCTTAAAATTTTTATTTTTCCATTTTCCCTTTTCTTTTTCCTTGGCATGGCCCAGCCAGGAGTTTCTTTTTCTAAAGCCAAATGATTTTATAATACATATATAAAATCACACTTTTTCCCCCTGGAATATTGTGCTGTTTATTTTATTGGCATTAAAAAAGTGCATGCTCTCCTGTATTTTATAACCTTTGGTTTATGCAGGAATATGCTGAATTTCAGTATCGGAGGCGGCACAGACAGCAGCGCCGGCGCGGGGACGTGCACAGCCTGCTCAGTGACCCCCCAGACCCCGACGAGCCCAGTGAAAGCACTTTAGGTGAGTGAGCTCTCAGAGTAGGTGTGTTTTAACCTCTTAGCTGAGTATGTGTTTGTGAAAGCGTTTGTAGTTTAGGTGTACAATCAGTGTGGAGCTGCTTTTACTGGCACAGGATACGGAAAACCAGGGGAGTTAAGAACGTGAGCTGTGGACTCAGACCTGGGTTCAGGACCCCATCTCCGCTGCTCCGAACAGAGCAGCACGTTAATTGAGTCGCTGAACTTCTCGAAGCTCTGGTCTCCACATTCTAAAGGAGCAACACGAATAGTGCTACTCGGGGGCTAACTGTGGGTTTTAGGTGAGATTATGCATGTGAAGTTCGTCAGCATGAGTAGTTCTGGTAGCACTCGTACAGTGTAGCTGTCCTGGGGTGTTTTCTTCCTCGCCTCAGGTCTCCTATAAGCACTCTTCAAAAGAGAAGATTTCTGGTATTAGAAATTACTTCAATTATCAACCTTTAAATACTAAATTATAATTGAAAGTCCTTAAACTGTAATGTCAGTAGATTATCTTTAGTAAATCAGGATCAGTGGGCCTAAAGATTTTTCTTCAGGCTATTATTGTAGTTCCCACAATCTTTAAAAAAAATAAACTAACTAAAACCCTGAAAACTGAAACACCTTTACTTATTATTGCTTAAGAAAACAGAGAGGCCCTGGCTGGTGTGGTTCAATGGATTGAGAGCTGGCCTATGAACCAAGGGGTCGGCGGTTCAATTCCCAGTCAGGGCACAGGCCTGGGTTGCAGGCCAGTTCCCAGTTGGGGGCATGTGAGAGGCAACCACACATTGGTGTTTCTCTCCTCTTTCTCTCTCCCTCCCCCTCTCCCTAAAAATAAATAAAATCTTTTTTTTTTTTTTTTAAGAAAAGACAGGAATGGATGGTGATGGTAACATTGGTACTTCTTGGTGTTAGGAGGCCAAGAAGCAGTAGCATTGGCATTTCTGAATGGAACCGCATGTAGTGTAAGCAAAAATGCAAAGAATAATCATGGGTGTGAAGTAGCCTGAGAGATACGTTGTTGCTTATGGTGAGACAAATACACATGAGAAATCTGAAAGGTGGGGTGAACTGCGAACACAGGTTCTCACCAGCACTGAAAGAGAAATTGCCAGTTTAACTGACAAGATACATGACATCTGTATGACTGGACTGTCTCTGATGCTGCTTGCTCTGAAACAGATCTCCCAGAAGGTGGCAGCAGCCGCAGGCTGAGCCCCTCCGTGGTCGGCTCTGCGTCCATGAGCGCCCTGCACAGCTCTGCCCTGCGTGACCTCCCCTCCGCCGGCCGCTCCGAACACCAGGATGCTCTCCAGGTAGCTTTGCTGGCCATCCCCGCGGCCCCGCCTCTGCTCCTGCTCAGTTCAGCCTGGTTTCCTCATTTCACTTTCACTGCTTTTTCTTCCCCCTTCCATTCTAAATTGTTTCAGGGGTGTGCTGTAGGAAAAAAGATTCACCGTAAGGAATTTTTCCCCTGTAACAGGGAAGAGAAAACTAAACTAAGATTTGAATAGATGAAATCATTCTTCTGTATAAATAGAGTTAATGGGGGAAATACAATAAAAATAAACTATTGAAATAAAAAATAAAAATAAAGAGAGGAGATATTAATTGCGTTAGGTAAAAAAAAGAACAGTGGTAAACCTCATTGGGTTAAATCATTTTTCCTTTTAAATTTTAGAGTGGTTTTATTTTCTGTCACCCTCAGGCTCTGAGTTCCTTGGATGAAGATGATCCCAATATACTTCTCGCAATACAGTTGTCACTGCAAGAATCGGGGCTGGCCATCGAAGAAGGAAACAGAGACTTCCTTGGTAGTGAAGCATCCTTGGGCGCCATGGGCACTTCTTTATCTTCCAGGCTGGACTCGGTCCCCAGGAGCACAGACAGCCCGCAGGCGATGTTAAGCAGCTCTGAGCTGTTGGAACTTGGCGACAGCCTCCTGAGGCTAGGAGCAGGGAGTGACCCGTTTTCCCCTGACACCCTGAGTTCACACCCTCTCAGTGAGGCACGAAGTGAATTCTGTCCCTCATCCAGTGACCCCGACTCAGCTGGCCAGGATGCCAGCATCAATGATAATCTTCTTGGCAACATAATGGCTTGGTTTCATGACATGAACCCTCAGACTATTGCCCTGATTCCTCCAGCGGCTTCAGAAGTCAGTGCAGATTCCCAGCCCCCCTGTGTCAGAGATGGGTCAGAAGGCACGAGGGATGTGGAACTGGTGCCACCAGAAGAGGATCCTGTATTTGAAGATGCTGTGGTCAGTGAAGGTAGAGGAACCCAGAAAGGAGAGGAAAACTCTTTGGAAGAGAATGTTCTAGCTGGGGAAGCAGCTCCTCAAGCTGGCAGAAGTGGTAATGAGGCAGCCAACAAGGAGGGTAGTTCAGATGTTTCAAGTCAAACACCTCAAACCCCAAGTGACTGGGTTGAACAGGTCCACCTAGTGTGAGCTGCACACCCCGGGCTCCCAGCGTGTCATCGCGGAGACAGGTGGTGTGCCAGTGCAGTGCGCTGCCGCTGGACTCGATCCGCTGAATCCCAGCTCAGCTCTGAACCACTGGAAGTAGGATCAAATACAAGGCGTTCCCCCCGAATAGTAGCTTCATTTTGGAGTTAAGCCTCACAGGGAACCTCTTTCAAATTTAATTGGATAGCTTTCCCTTTTTTCACTGACAAAAAGAAAGCGGGAGAGAGAGAGAAACAAATTGGAGTAAGTCGGTTAGATTCCACACGCCAAAAAAATGCAGTCCCCTGTTTAGCCTAAGGTCGGCAATAGTTAAATTGAACATTAAAATTAAAGGCTTACTCCTTAATCCTTGGATGGTTTTCCTCTTTCAAAAAAAAAAGTGGGGTGGGGGGAATCTTCATTTTAGACGTTGTTTTGGGTAGATCTGTTTGAACAAACACTGCGTTCCTTGATCTCTCTGTGCTCAGACTTTCTTCCCGCCTTTTCGTCTGAGCAGAATGAATCGAAGTGTCCAAAGCTTCTCGTTAGTGCTGCATCCACCACCATGTACTTGGTTTTCATTCTCACATGAGTTGAAAATTCCTTTTCATGTCTATTTACAGTCCACTAGTGCCAAACTCTGACTCGTGCGCCAAGACGGCATTGAGGCGAGGGGTGCCCGCGAGGCTCTGGGTGGCCCCAGCGCACTCAGGAGTAAGGCACCATGGGTGGCAGTGAAATTCCAGGCTTTAATGGGCTTTTGTTGCCATGGAGACTGCATTTACATAAATGTAGCCTGTAGCTTAAGTTAACTAAACCTAATGCTGCTGTTAAAACAGTTTATTTTAATATTAAAATATGGTTGATTAGCAACAGCGGTGCTGTATTTTAAAAGACACTTTATTGGAAGTGCAATCATAGTTCTTTGTTTTCACAGTTTTACAGTGCATTCTAATTACTAATGGGTGCAATTACTTTTAATGGTAAGTGTTTTATAAAATAGAAAAAAGTGGAGTTTTCTGAGTTATAGTAAATCCCACGATTATTAAAAAATCCAATAAAACATCCTGCGCAACATGTTACTGTGCCTTTGCCTAACTAAACGGATAGTTGCCAGTTAAATGAGTGAGTCATTCACACTTCACTGTCTCTTCTGAAATGACTATGCTACGAACTGCAGAGACCTCCATAAAACCACCCATGGCCTTGCCTTTACAGTAAACATAACAACTAAATATTCGATCAGTCGTTTGCCTAAATAGCAGGTACTGACATGTGTTCGTTCTGTTGCACAATACTAATTTGCCATGTGATTACTGTTTAGTGTCCAAAAAAATCAACTTCCTAGTTATCAGTGTCTTACTGTGAAGAAAATACTGGTCTTAGTTGTAATTAAGATACAATGATACAGTGTGTAATTAAAACTAGAGTAACTGTTGGAATGGCTGTTTTACTTACATATTATCACAACTAGCATAACATAAACAAAATAGATATGCAACGCTCCATTTAACGTTTTGCCAGATTCTTACCAGAAATCTGCAGATACCAAAATTTCAGTACCAAGTTTGTACAGGCACGTCCTGGGCTGGGGGAAAGGTTACATTAGTATTGCTAGTCACATGAGTTACAATTACAGTTTTTTGTTACTTTTTATTTTCCAAACCCTGCTTTTGAGATACTCTCATTTTTGGAGTTTGCATGGCTAGGCTGTGGTAGTGGTTGATGCCCCCCAGGCCCCCAGGGTAGAGAGCAGTGTGGGAGTTGTCCTGTGCCGGGAGTCCCGAGTCCACAGTAGGGCTCCTTTCCCCAGTCACCAGAGACATTGGCATCAACCCTGTGAGGATTTGTTGGAGTAAATGTTAACTTTTATCTGCGGTGTATTACTGTATATTCAACTGAAATAGTCCATTAAAGGATTTTTTTTTTTTTTACAAATTTATTTTGGATTGAAAATACCAACACCCATCAGTTTTTAGACCAAGTTGTAACTTTTCAGAAGAAGGATCTGTGTGCCGCGAAGCCTGTCTGGCACAGCCGCGGTCAGCGCGGCCGTGCTGCGTGGGGGCGGCGGCGAAGCCTGCGCGCCGCGGGGAGGGGGCGCTGCGGCTTCACCCGGGCAGGCGGCGGGCGGTGCCCAGTGTCTGCACGCTGCTCCCTCCGGAGCGTGAGGAAAGACCATTAGCCCATTTGTATTTCCTTGGTACATATTTTAAAAACAACAGTCACTGACTTTACAATTCAGAAATAAAGTTTGGCAAAGCCTATTTTGTAAACAAGTTAATTTTATAATGTAAAAAAACTACTCTAACCTGGACTTGTTATTTGCACTTTCATAGTCTATACTTGATACATTCCCACTTTATATATAGTAGGGTCTACAACCGTGTAGATGTTTGGCCAAATGAATGCTGTTAATAATATGTAAAATTCTTTGATTAAACATTTATTACTTAAACTACTTCACTTTTGTCTCGTTACATTATAGACTTTGTTTTAACCGAGTTAGGAAGCTGATTTTCTTCAAATTAAATTCTCTCAAACATGATGCGATTAATATTGTTCTTATATGTAACTGATTGGGGCCTAATATTTTTCACACTCAGGATTTTGTGCCCCAGAATAGTAGATTTCTTTCTAGAAAGATGTAAGTGGCTCTTTCTAGTCTATTATATGACTGTCCTTGTTTTAAGAAATAAAAAGGGCGGTGGTTACACCTCGTAAAGAACGATGGACCAGAAAAGTTTGCTGTCGTCTCTTTTACTTAGGATGGCAGGTGGCTGGCCAGTGGAGTGGTGGCCAAACGTTTGAAGGAATTACTCTTCTTCAGTCTCTATAATTGTGATTGAAACTGTTCTTGATCAGGCCGTGTTACCTTTTAGCCGGCCGTTGCACAAGGGCCCGGCCTACACGAGGCATCCGTGCGCGGACTGGCTGAGAGAGAGTCCTGAGGGAGCGAACAGAACACAACACAGACAAGGTAACTTACTGTACAGGAAGCTGAGTTTCGTTGCGCCTGCACATCTTGGTGAGCGTGCCAAAGACTGCAAGGCCTGGCAACAAAATCGCCTGGGCTGTTGATGCCGCTGGCAGCCTTAAGGAGCAGTCCTGCCATAAAAGCATGGAAAGCATTGCATCCGTGACGCTCGGAGTTCCTCGGCTGCAGCACACCCCCGCTGCATGCTTGGCATTCGTCCAGGCCCAGAATACGGCCCAGTTCCTGTGGCGCTGGGGGCAGGGAGAACTGGCACCAGTGTGCCGGCGTTTGTGCTGCGTGCTCTGCTGTGAGTGATGGAGCCCTTTACCTCTGACCCAGCAGTCTCATTACTTCTACTGGCTCTGAAATGGACCAGCTAACATACTGATTTGTGAACAGGGTACAGTGAACTCCCAGACCCGACAATTTTGCCAGTACGGGTGGAATGCTGACAGACATGATTTTCTGGGAGAGGAATCATGGGCCACGGGAGGGCATACAGGACTCTGAAGTCTGTGTGGTAGTGAACTCTCACCCAAGTAGTAGGTAAGGGATGGGGGAAAAGAGTACCGGTTCCCACTGTCCTACCTCTTGCTGAACTGGACTTGAGCTGATGTTTAAAGGCTTAGGGATAAAAGGTAGGACTGAAATAAGCTGTTCAGATGGTTCCTTGATTGTTGCTAACTCCTGCAGGCGAGCAGAAGAAGGAATGTTTTCATGACCAGGAGTCAAAAATTCCCGTAGCCCTACCTGAAAGGCAGTATGGCTGCACCTACTGAGTCAGAGTCCCCAAACATAAAATCAGTGTATCAGCAATAAGAAGCTGGCTGTGTGAGAGCTTTGAGTGGACCAAAAACATTAGACATTTATATGGCTGGACAACAAGTAATCACAACACTATCCAAATGCTTAGGCGAATGCAAAGCCTTGCCTGAAAGTGCAGGTCAGGCCGCCCTCACAGCACCGGGCATCTGATGTAGCCGGCCGTGAGGACAAGGTGCTGGGTGCAGGAGTGATACGAGATGCCACGGGCTGCGGCGTCTAGACGCCGACTGGCCTCACCACTGCCAGGGGAGAGGGAGTTGTGCTACTGTGCGGACACTGACCCTGGAGCAAGGGGCTACAGGAGAAGGACGACCCACGCAGGCTAGCCTTCCGGTCCCCGGGCCTCCTCGCCCCATGGCAAGGGGGTATGGTGATCTGCCACCCATTTGTCACCTGGCAGTAGCTCCTGACTGACATACATGTTAGACAACTCAGCTGGGAGAAAGTCTGGACACAGTAGGGGGCAGGAGGGGCTTCCCTTGTGGGTCGGGCCCTCTAGGTGATTCAGCGGAATGTTGGGCTTCCAAATCCAAATGCCTAACACAAGGAATGTGTTCTGTGCCCATCAGTACCGGTCTCATAATTGTCGGGTGGGTTCTCGGGTTCAGGGACGGCCGTGTGCAGAGAGGTGGGCATGGATCACCCCCTAGCCTGGCTCCTTGTCCCCCCTCTGGGGTGGCCCAGCAGACACGAGACAGAATCCCAGGAGGAGAAAGTGCAGTCACCTTTGTTCCCCTGCTCGCAGTAATCCTTTGTTTTTTCCTAGAATCTGGATACAATTAACCTTGTCTTAAGGGAGGAATTGTCTATTTACATCACCTCACATGGTAAAAAGCTATGGGAGGTTTGTTGGTGCAATACTTCATAGGTTAGGACAGATTAGTAAAGAGTAACTTTGTTTATGTGTAAACTCGTTTTTAAAGGCCAAATTCTATAATATTGAAGTCCACATGTTGCATATAAAATGTTGTGTAGTTGCATCAATACCGGGTAAATTCGTTGGTACATCTCTTCAGTTTTTCTGTTACTGGAAATCACTGCCTTTGTTAAACTTAGTGGCAATCTGAGTATTCAGGCCCTTTCCCAGCACAACGTCGCCATCTGCTGGACGCATCCATGAAGTACACCCGTTTTGGAGAACGATTCTGTTCCTAGACTCTTGCTGAAACTGAATGCCAGCCCTGTGAGGCGTAATGTGTGTCATCTTCACTTTACGGTGGGTGAGCTGCAATTGGAGAATTAACATGGGCCCAGCAGGCCTTGCAGGTCAAACAGAAATGGTGCATTTCAGAATGCAGCTAGCCTGACCATAGCAGTATCTTGATTTTACATGAAAGTAGTAGCTACCCCTTTGGGGGGGTGTATTATCTGCCCAACTTCACTGCCTAAAACAAAGCCGCTGGTTTAGTAGGAGGTCTCAGTTCACAGGTACCTGGCCTGGGTTCATCTGCTTGGCAGCAGTTTCTGCCAAGTCCCAGCCGCCCCTTGTAGCTATAGAAAAGAAAGATCTAAAATTGATATGGAGAGGCAAAGGAACTAAAATGGTTAAAACTATTTCAAAGAATAAAATTGAAGTGGGAGGGATCATCCTACCCCATTCCAAGACTACAGGAATCACAACTATGATACTGGTGGGAAACCTCATCAAGTGATTTTGACAAAGGTGCAAAAGCAATACAGTGCAGGTTAGTCTGTGCAATAAAGGGCACCGGTGCAGTCCGCAATCAGGTACAAATGTATGAGTCTCTCCCTAACCCTTACACTTGATATAAAACAAAGTGGGTCACAGGTTTAAATGTAAAATACAAAACTTAGGAAAAAAAACTTTATGTTCTAGGCTAAGCAGAGAATTCTTAGCAAAAGTATAATCCATTAAAGAAAGCATTGATTAAATTGGACTTTTTAAACTTTGCAAAAGACCTTATGGAGAAGATGGAAAGACAAGCTATAGACTGGAAGAAAATACTTGCCAACTATGTGCCTAGAATATGTAAAGAACTCTCAAAACTCAACAGTAAAAAGACAATTGAATATAAAATGGACAGAAGACATGAGACATTTCACAGAAGAGGATACATAGTTAAGAAATAAGCATAGAAACGATGGTCGACACCACTATCCATCAGGACATGTAAATTTAAATCACGAGACACATTACACACCTATCAGGATGGCTAAAACAAATAGCAACACCAAATGCTGATGGATCACTTATACATTGCTGGTGAGGGTGTAACATGGTACAGCCACCTTGGAAAGTAGCTGGGCAATTTCTTTAAAGATTAACCATGTACTTAGCATGACTCAGCATTTGTGCTCCTGGACATTTATCACAGAGATGTGAAAACATGTCCACATGAAAACCCGTATATGTGATGTACGGCAGCTGCACTTGCAACAGCCCGAAACTGGAGTCCCCCCAAATGTCCTGCAGTAGGTGAACGGTTAACTGTGGCACGTCCATGTCAGGGAACTGGACTCGACAGTAAAAGGAATGGACTATTGGCACAACTGGCAACAACTTCGTTGGATCTCAAGGGCACTGTGTGGATTGGAAAAAAGCCAATCTTGAAATGTCACAGTGTCGCAGTGCAATTCCACCTATGTAACATTTTTGAAATGACAAAACAATAGAGATAGAAGCAAATCAGTGGTCGCCAAAAGTGGGGGTGCAGAGAGGTGTGTGCGTGTGGCTATAAAGGGGTTGCACAGGGGATGTCCTTGGTGATAGAATAGTCAGTGTCATGGTTGCAGTGACGGCTACAGGAATCTACATGTGATGAAGTAACTGTACATACATACGGCACCCACAACAACTCTGGTTTTGATAGTGTGCATTTTGTAAGAGAAAACCATGGTGGGGGGCAGGCAGGGGAGACCAGGTAAAGTGCGCACAGGACCTGTTATCTGTGCAACTCCTTGTGAGTCTGTATTTCAAAATTAAAAGTTTTGTTTTTAAAGGTAAACCAGACTCAGCACGCAGACAATAGTTTGCCGACCCCTGCCTTAGAACACCTGTCAGATCATTGTTACTTTGTACATGGCACGCTGTTCGTAGTGCTGCAACCTGGGGCCATTGAAGATAACTTCAGTTGGTTCATTTGTTTCAAGGACTTCCATGAAGCAAAGGGTCCTAAAACTGCCCACATTCGTTCTTGACAGTAATGTCAAATGCATGCCACATCATCTGGCTGTTGACTCACATCCTTGGAGCCTGTGAGCGCAGCACGGCACACCGGCTTTGAAAAGAACGTGGCTGACTGCGCACTCGCCTCTAACAGGAGCGGTTTCGCCAGGACCACTTGCACGTAGACAGCTGTGCTTATCAGTCCATGCCCAGAGCTACAATGAGGGAATACTCGTGGGAAAATTCAAAGAACAAAAGTTAGAATGACAGGCCCCGAATTTGTGGGCACTATAGAAAGTATAACCTGACTTCTGCTCTGGATTTTCCTCTCCCATTCCCTGTAAGCTTCCAGTGCCCCATTACGGGCATCTTGAGTTGATGTACAAATGGATTTGGGACCACTCCTGACAGGTGTTTAAATTGTGCACTCTGGTCTCAAGAGATGAATTTCCCATATTGAGGACAAATTAGTCCACTCATGTGGCTGACTGCTCAGACTCTTTATCAAATGCAGAAATCAAAAAGATTGTCATAAGCATTGGAATCTCTTTTAACTGAGTCGTCGCCACTATTTAATGGCACATAGAATAGACACACAATGGACCATGTGTGGTGGGGAACGTTGCTGAGACAACAGACATGCTGAACATGGAGAAGAATCGGCCAGCCCTGACCGGTGTGGCTCAGTTGGTCGGACATGGCCCCACAAAGCAGAAGGTCACCAGTTCGATTCCCTGTCAGGGCACGTTCCTGGGATGTGGGTTCAGTCCCTGGACGGAGCACACACCCAAGAGGCAACCGATGTTTCTCTCTCATACGGATGTTTCCCTCTCTCCCTCCCTTTCCCTCTCTCTAAAAAGTAAATAAATAAAATATTAAAAAAACAAACCAAAAGAAATTGGCCAGCATGTCCTGTTAAATGCAGGAAGATTTTCTTGCTGCTAGGAGAATATGCAAAGCCTCAGGTTCTCCGGCTGAACTTGCTTGTGTGGAGTAGGTTCACCATGACTTTGGCACCAAAGCCTCTGACAGGTGCACACAAGGTGATGTGTGTTAAGCTCTCTAGACCCAGAAGCTTGAGAGGGTCCTCCCGGACTTTTTTGGCTGGCTGGCTTTCACATTCCTTTCTCTTCTGCTTGTTCACACTCACAGGTTCCTCTCATCCTCAGGAATTTGCTGATAGTAATGAGGTTAGAAACACTGTAAGACGTGTCACCAAGGTAGTGGAGGTAGGGCTAATCTGAAATATGACAGGTCATCACACAGCCAGGTGCGTGGGACTCTAGTCACATGGTGCTGGTGCTGCAACTCAAGTGCCTTACCTGAGATCTGTAAATTCAGTTAAGTCTAGAAGTTAAGATCTATGGGGAATCATTCCAGAGAGACCGGAGGAGTCCATCTAATTGTATCCCCACGCACAATTCACCCATGCCGTGGAGATCTGTCCAGTCCCCCTCAGGGACACCATCAAACGGGTTATCAGATGTGTGTGAATAAATAAATCAGTGCAAAATAAATGGGGCTTCTTGTTGACTGATGAGTGTGGAGTTTCCATTTTGCAAGGTGAAAAAATTTGGGAGATTGGTGTCCCAATAATGTGAGTACACTTAATGCTACTGAACCGTATACTTCAAATGGTTGAGATGGTAAGTTCTGATACGTGTATTTCATCACAATTAAAATGGAAATAAATTTCTTTAATATGATGGAGGCCTTCCGAGGAGGCCAGCTGCCTCAGACAGTCAGAGGAGGTGGTCTCTGAGCTGAGCCCCGAAGTCTAGGTGAGACGGGACAACAGCAGGCAGGGCTGTGTCCTGAGCCTTCCATGTACGTGAACTCGTTCCTCCTGGCCACCCCCACCAGGCAGGTATTTTGTTACTCCCTGCAGTCTGACTCTAGCATCCAGGAGAAAGGCGGAGCACGTTGGTTTACCTTATTCCTGAAGTCAGACTGGGCCAGGATATTCCCCCAGAATGCCCAGAAGAGAATGAAGTAAATACAAGTTTCTGTGTGCAATTTTACTCACGTAGATGGTGCTTACAGTTTAAATACTTCCTGGAAACTTCAACCAACTACCAGGCATCTTACGAATGTATGTCATTGGGATACTCATCTTTTAAATTTATAAACATCGGAAATGTCCCCAGGAAGTTTTGCAACATGACAATAGAACTTAAAATGTAACAGCTACAGCTGCCATATACTGAATGCTTGCTTTCATTTGAAAACAAAAAAGTACTTGAGAATGTTTTGGGTTTTTTTAGGATAAAATCTCTTACGAAGTAGCCACCTCTGCATGCCTGAGCCTGGCAACACATGCCCCTCCCTCCCTCCTGTCAACAGAAGCTGGCCTTGACCGTGAGACCTACTGTCTCAGTCCAATCAGCTGCAAAATAAAGAGGAAAAGGTTGATTATATCCAAGTAGATGTTCAGCGCAGCGAACACATACTCTTCAGGGTTCAGGCTGTAGTGATGGTGCCCGCCCACCATCAGCTGCACATCCATCACCAGGTACTTAAAGAAAAGAAAGAAAAATTAGCTACTTAAATCATTCATTTCTATCCAATCACTGTCTCGCATCATCTTAATCCATTTCTATCTGAAACTGTCCTAAAATTGTTTTAGCGTCCGCACAGACACGGCGGAAAGCCACTTTGTGGCTGTATGTGTTACTCTCGCAGCCTCAGACGTTCACGGTGCTCCCAAGTGTGTCCTCTCCCACCTCGAGCGCTGTGTCCTGCAGCCGGTGGGCCCAGACCGGGAGGCCGCCTCTGCTGTGGGAGCGCGGGAGCCTCTCGCCCTTAGTCAGCACCGCGGCCGGCTGGGCCCACCGGACACAGCGCTGAACTACAAAACGCCCCGTGTCTGCCACTTCCCTGCCCGTTCTCGCAGAAGGGAAACAAAGTGGTTCCCCAACATTTAGATTCGCGCACAGCGACATTCCTGAATTCTTGGAGCTTTAGGATGATGTCAGTGTTCCCAAAACAGAATGAGGAGAAGAGGGGATTTATGGTTAAATGACCCCCCAAAAGTAAACATTTTAGCTCAGACACAGTGGGTAAAATTATGAGCTCCTAAGACATCAAGAAAAAGGTCAGCGAGTGCTCTCACCAAGTGAGCACCCCGGGCGGCATGAGTTGAGAAAAAGTCAGCAGCTCCTCACTACGTCCTCTCCAGATTCTAGACTAAGAGGCCAGTGCTGTAAGGCAGAGCCATCAGACAGAACATCTGTCTTCGGGTAGAATATTTGGGGAAACCACCCACTTTAGAACACCCACTTCAGTGAGACCGAGCCCATGACTCAGGTCTCCACCAGCCCTGGATGCTGATTCCCACTCGGGCTTGTAAGAAGCAGGAGGAAGGGAGGGAATAGGGTAGGCTCACGCCAGTTCATTGCACACATCATGTCATGTAACATGGGAATAACCCAGTTGCAAGTGAGACTGACAGCCTCCAAGAAGAGAAAGTCACGTGCGTGATCAGAGCGGTGGACACGGGAGTCACACCCGAGGCCGGGGGGTGTGCCAAAGCAGGTGCCGCCCCTGGACCGCTCCTGTCCCTTCTCCCCATTTCCCTCCCCTCCCCCCATGTGATTCCAGCAACTTGGGGGAAAGTTTTCACTTTTACTGTGTAATCCAGCAGTCATATTCCTTGGTATTTACCCAAAGAAGTTGAAAACTTATGTTCACACAAAAACCTGCATGTGGATGTTTAGAGCAGCTTTATGCAAAATTGCCAAAATTTGGGAGCAACCAAGATGTCCTTCAGTAGGTGGATGGATACATACACTGTCGCGCATCCAGACACAAATGAGCTCTCAAGCCATGAAAAGACACAGAGGAATCTAAAGTGTATCTTACTAAGTGAAAGAAGCCAACCTGACAAGGCTACACGTTCTGTGATGGCTACCATGTAACATCCTGGAAAAGGCCAAACTTGGGAGCAGTAAAAAGTCAGTGGATGCCCGTGGCCGGGCCCCGGGGAGGAGTGAATGGACGGGGCACGGAGGGCCTTTAGGGCAGTGAGAGTCCCCTGCCCTGTACCATAATGATGGAGCCCGTCATTTAGTCTGCATGTATCCAACCCATAGAACGTACTCTGAGATGACCCCTAACATTAACCGTGGACTTGGGGCGACGTTGACAGGTCACTGTAGTTCTTCAGTGTAACAAACCCACCCTCTGGTGAGTGCTGGTGGTGGTAATGGGGGAGGCTGTGTTGGGTGGGAAACCTCTGAACCTTCCTCCTGATTTTGCTGTGAACTTAAAAGTGCTCTTAAAAACCATCCTCAGAAAAGGAGGAGGAGGACGGGGAGGAGAAACCAATCTCCAGGAGCTCTTGCCAGTGAATGACCGACTGCTTGACCGCGCGCCCAGCACAAGGGCTCAGGCAGCCTCGTCACACACTCCCTGCCACAGGGAGGGGGAGACGGACTCACAAGCGAGAACAGCACCGTTCCGAGTCCAGCGTACAACAGATGCAACCACTGCAAAAGAAAGGACACGTCTGAATATTAAGAACAAGGTTTGAGATAACAAAAGGACTTGCTGCGCTTAGACTAGATCAATATTGAGAAAGTCGAATCTGTGAGCAAATTCATCTTATTTGAACATCATCAGTTAACTGCCACTGTATGGGCCAAATCAGCTTCTTCAAGCAAGCGCTCGGGCAGGGCAGGTAGGACAGGCAGAACACAGGAGATGTGGTTCGCTTCTCGCCCCACCCGCAAAGCCCTCCCAGAGCATCTGCCCTGCCCTCAGCCCTCGGAGCGGGTTTCTGGGATCACGGCGATGCCCACACACCATGGCTAGAGTTGGCTGAGGAGAGGGGGGATGTTCCCGCCAGCGGCGGCCAATCTCTCATGACCAGGGTTCTCTTATATGTGACCGTTATCAAACATGCTGCAGGCCGGTCAGAATCCATTTTCAGGATTGAGGGCTCCAAGCAGCAGAGGTGGTTACATGAATAGCTGGGCTCGCAGCCGTCACTGTACGAGCAGAGGTGGCCAAACAACCCAGGAGAGGAAGATGGGGCCTCCATTCCCGTGAATGCTGGCTCTTCTAGAAGTTCCATGGGGTTCCCTCAGATCTTTGCCTTGAGCTAGCCTGAGCAGTATCTGTCTGTTCTTTGCAACCAGAAGAGTCCTGATCAGAATATGAGCCTAGTCTAAACACCACAGGGTTTGGCTCTGTGTGGGGAGAGGATGAGAGAGTGAGGCATGACGTCTGAGGAAAACAATGGGGTTCCCTTTGCAGGACAAGACAGCTGGCCCCAGGGGGCGGGCAAAGCACTCTGCTAACCAGGGAAGGGGCTCAGTGAAGGAGGAGTCAGGGGTCAGTGATTCTGTGAGGCACGGTGCTTACAGACTGAGCTAATGGTAAGAAAACTCCTAATTCCTGCAATCTGAAGACTTCAAAATTGCCAGAGTCAAACAAGCACATCGTTCGGACAAGGTTCTGGCAAAGTCTCCCGCTGATACATATGGGCAAGACTACGGTAGATACTTGTGAGAGGAATTTAGAACGGGAACTAGGGTCCATTCACCTAGTAGGAAACATTGTTTCTTAACTGCACCCATTTATTGTAAAGACCCATGGAACCCACCTAATAAATATTTGTATTCTCACTGCCATGTCTGTGCCACTGTCAGTAACAAGTGGAGCACTGAGGCCTAAATCTTTATGATGTCTTCAAGTTTATCTCTAACACACGGATGCTCCCTCCCATGCTGTAGGCCTGTCTGGTCATTCATAAGGCTGAATCAATGCTGGCTACACATGTGAAGATCAGTGCTGGCTACACATGTGGAGATCGCTGATGAAGTCCACTTGCTGCCCATGCAGCTCTTTGATTCAGCAACTGGGCCAAGTCGGCCTTGGGGCATTAAACCTGTGGTTCCAGGTCTCAGGCCAGAACTCGGTGGAACTGGCCCCGGGGGGCCCCCAGCCAGGGGCCACTGGCAGCTGACCTCAGGGCCAGGCCCCGGGCCCCTGCCTCTGCACCCTCAGCCATTGTGCACACACAGGGCCATGTGATGGACAGAGCTTGGGCACCAGAGTCACACAGACCCGGCCTTGGGGCCACCTACGCCCGGTGTGAACTAGGCTGAATCATCTACTTCCTTTAAACCTGTTTTCTTATCTATAAGACAGATGAGATATGTACTTTTCAGGAATATTTTGATTCATCAAATTAAATTTGATGCCTATATGAAAAACACATGGGCCTATGTCCAACATGTAGTAAGAAGTCAATGAGTAAATGAAAGGGGAAAAAAGCTGGGATTGAAAATAAGGAACCTCACTAGCATGCTGCTGGAAAAGTCCTAGCGAGCCTGTCTCTCCACTCCCGTAACTCCAAACAGGCAGCACCCACGTACAGAAGGTGTCTGGTCCGCCCTGTGGGGGGTCCACCGCAAGCTCCTCTGAGGGAGGGACAGCTGCAGTCCAGGGCAGGACCTCCACCTTCGCGCCCCAGACCCCTGCCCATGGTCCCCCCAAGCACACCACACCGGGTGGCCACCAGGACAGGCCTCCCAGCCCTCCCGCTCCTGGGAGGGAGTGTGAGGGCCCCAGCACCCACGGTTTGTTTGCTCCTGGGACCCACTCCACTTCTCAGTCATTGGTCGGAGCAGCAGGGTCCTTCCTGGGGGGCACAGGGCCACCACACTGTGGTGGTCTTGAGCTCCAAAACTTCCCGGCGGCCTTGCGGAACCCCCCCGCAGTCTAGAATGCTCCCACCCACCGCCTTCCCTGTCCTTCACCTGGGGTCACATTTGCCACTGCAGCTGTCTGACAGCTCTTCCAGCCTTCGTCACCCCCGACCCCTTCCTCTCACAGACATTTCCCCCCCCGTGAACCTCCTCCCATTTGTCCTCTGGGTGCCTGCTGCTGAGAGGGTCCATTCCGACACCACCAGCGCCTCCCCCTAGATGGCCAACGATTCTCAGAGGTCTCCAAATGAGAGGCCACGTACGTATGACTGTATGAAGAGCAGGAGGACTCCGTAGATGATGAGCACCAAGAGGAAGACGAACAGCGTTCCGTTCAGCAGGGTGAAGTCCCACTGAGGAGACAGAAAGGGCCGCACAGCAACTCAGTCACCGCCTGTCAGGAATTCCGGGCTCTGTAGAGAAGCACCTTACACCCCACAGACAGGAGCGGCCCCCCTTCTTTTCCAGATTCCATTTATTTACTTTTAGAGAAAGGAGAAGGGAGGGAGAGAAGCACCGATATGAAACGCGTGGGTCTGTGGCCTCTCCTGGGCGCCCCCACCAAGGACCAGACCCAGCGCCCCGGCACGTGCCCTGCCCAGGAATCCAGCTGACGACCCCCAGTCAACTGAGCCACACAGTCAGGGCCGGAAACTGGCTCTTTTGCTAATAATTTACCCCAGGCCAGTTCCAAAACCATGGAAATTCGTTAGCCCTGACCACTGAAAGCGGGACAAAAAAGTGTCCTATTGCCTGGCCTTGCCCATGAGGGGTGGGGCTGTGGATGGGATAAGAGGAGCCATGAGGTGGTAACTGTTGAAACCGGGTAATGGGTTCAGGGGGGTTCGGTACACTCCTCTATTTCTGTGCACATTAAAAGGTATGTTGAACCCTGGCTGGCATAGCTCACTGGATTGAACACGGGCTGTGAACCGAAGGGGGTCTCCAGTTTGAGTCCCACTCAGGTCACGTGCCTGGGTTGCTGGCCAGGTCCCCAGTGGGCACCCACGTGAGAGGCAACCGCACATTGACACTTCTCTCCTTCTCTTTCTCCCTCCCTTCCCTTCTCTGAAAATAAGTAACTAAAATCTTTAAAAAATAAGGTACATTGAATGAGTAGGATATAAATTTGTATGTATAATATGATCACAAGTACGATCCTAATTTCTCATTTTTTAATTTTAAAATGTATTTATTGGTTGAAGGGAGGGAGACAGAGCTAGAGAGACAGAGAGACAGAGAGACAGACAGAGAGACACTGATTTGGTTTCCTCTAACTGGTGCATTTACTGGTTGATCATTGTACGCGCCCTGACTGGGGGTTCAAACCTGCATCTTGGCTTGTGGGGACAGCCATTATTCATGTTTTTTAAAGTGTGTGCATAGAATACATTAATGCAATGAAACAGACCAGTGTTTAACTGGGCACCTTTTTTTTACATGTGTATGTGTATCTTTGAATAAAAATGTATATATAAACTAAGCTTTCAAAAATTACTGTTAATGATCAACATTAAAAAAATGTTGAACTTTATTAATACCCTTTTTTGTTTTATACAAATCAGTGACCAGATCCACCTGGAGGGGGGCATTAATATTTTTTTTAAAGGGGGAATGTTCATCTGCTTGACTGAAAAATTTGGGATTGTGCAGCAAAAGAAGACCCTTGAATCCAAGACATTTTCTTGCAAGAGTTTTTGTCTAATTCCTTAACACACGGAGAGTGTGTGACCTGAAGTCCTGTATTACCCAGTGTGGGTCTCGGATCCTCAGCGTCAACACCGCCCGGGAAGGGCAGACTGTTGGCCCCCCTCCCAGGCCTCCGAGGCTGCAAGGCCAGGGGTGGAGCCCAGCGATCTGCGGTCTCACAGCTTCCCGGGCGACGCCGATGCTGCTAAACGCTCGTCTACAGGTGACCTTCCAATACCTGTGCCTACCAAGTACCTGGAACGCGGCAGGTCCAAACGAGATGTGCTATCAGTGCAAAATGCACACTGGACTTGATTTTAATTTAAAAAATGCAAACTAGCTCATTAGGATTTTGTTACATTGATTACCTGTTGAAATGATAATATTTTGCATACATTGGGTGAAGTGAAATATGTTATAATCAATGTCGCCTGTTTCTTTTTCGCTTTCTCAACGTCCTCACTAGGAAAGCCGAGAAGCCAGAAGGCGAGGAGGAGGCCGCAGGGGTGAGTCCCACAGGGCGGGAGAGCAGGAGGCGTGAGGAGGGAGGGGGAGGGGGGGCCGAGGAACGTGTCCGTTCGCTCCCTTAGGGCAGCCGTCTGTTGCAATAATACATACTTTTGTCTGAAGAGCAAATAAAGTGAGCGATAACGTCACCAGAGAGGTTGCTGCTATGGCCCATAACACTTCCTCAGCGTCATAGAAACTAAAACCAGAGAGCGTGATTACTGTTCACATCCAATCCAGGAAAAGCACACACGGGGAAGAAAACGTGCGTGGGAGACTTACGCTGACACGGCTCCTAGCAGCAGACCTTGGAGAACTGTCTAAAAACAAAATTCACAGTCAGTCAGGAGCCCGATCCGCAAGGCCGGCACCCGGAGGAGAGGACCGCGGCGGTGGGTGTGCGGGTCTGGGGTCCCAGCGCCCGGGCGGCCGGGCAGAGGGTTACAAAACGACATGAACGGTGGAGCCAAACATTTCCTTAAAAGTCTCCCCAAGACTCACAAGAGAAAATTCTTTTATCAGTAAAAATTTTAGGGCACAGTAACAACTTCTAACATGTCTAGTGGATCAAATATGTACCGATGAGGAATGTGGACACCAACGCACATGGTTACCTGGAAGGTTAGGCCGCGCGCAGGCTAACCAAACGGGGCCATCCAGACAGAACTGTAGCATTTTATCAGAGCAGACTATGCTGTGTCTACTGTCGCTGCACCCACAGTGTCAGTACCTTTCCCACAGTGCTCGGGTGAGAGCAAAATACTTCTTCCAACCTCAGGGGTGGGATGAGGGATGAGACTTTCTGGCAACGAGGGGGAAGGGCAGGGGGAAGGCACTTCTTTACGGAGCATGTGCTACACCTGCAGGTGCCCGTCCAGCGCTCCGGAAAGAGCTGCATCGGGGCTGCATCAGGCCGCGGGCGTCCCATGGGCCCGATGGGGCAGCGGAGAGAGGCAGGTGCTGAGAGCCAGCAGGCAGCTACCGGGAGGACGTGAGCCCAAGGGGAAAGGAGGGGGAGCGCAGGTCAGGGAAGAACGACGATGAGCGGGGAGCAGCTGCAGGGCCTGGGACACTTCCTAGTGGGTAGGACGCTCGTCCATGGTGCCTCCAGAGACTGCAAACCCACGAGAGCCAGGCAAGAATCCTCCAGTGTCAGGGAATAAAAATGAGGACAGATCCGCCCCACAGTGCCGGGGCTGGTGGAGGGGCGGGCTCACCAAGCACCTACATACAGGATGAAAGAAGGGACAGAAGCTGGGCCCTGAGACTCCTGGGTTGCCTCGACATTCCCCAGACCCGGTGAGTCAGTGCCTACTTTGTTAAACGTACCAAGTAAGCCGTCTCTATTTCCATTATACGTTTTATTAAAAAGTGTATCTGTTCCACATCCACATGATATTTTCATAATGTGCTTGCTTCTGGCCTTCCTCTCAAGATGAACTTTTTTCTTTTTTTTTAAAGATTTTATTTATTTATCTTTAGAGGGGAAGGGAAGGAGAGAGGGAGAGAAACATCAATGTACGGTTGCCTTTCGTGCGTCCCCTGCTGGGAACTGGCCTGCAGGGAACCAGCCTGCAACCCAGGCATGTGCCCTGACTGGGAATCGAACCACGATTGTCTGGTTCGCAGGCCCGCGCTCAATCCACTGAGCTACGCCAGCCAGGGCAAGATGGACTTTTTTCTTTCTACTTGCTCAGTTGTTTCCTATTTCTCCATCTTCAGGAGCACATGGAAGAAGTGTAAGAGAGAGGGAGAAGGGGAGGGAGAGAAAGGGGGGAGAGAAAAGGGCATGGGAGGAAGGAGAGGGAATGATTTCGAGCTGGAAACCACCCTTCAGTTTTCCCAAGAGGAGGCCAGTGAATCACAAGAGGCCTTGGAAGTCAAATCGCCCGCTGGCTTTGAAAGCTCAGACCGTGGGTCAAGGGGCCACGGGTCTGCAGGGCAAAAGCAGTCTCCAGGGGGCTGCTGTTTTCCTCTTGTCATTCAACTCCTTTTCTGAAATGGTTTTCTCCACATATTTCCTAATACTTGGTGAAGACATAAAGTCTAGAAAATATAACGAGTTCTTACCACTTTATTCCTGTACTCAGCTTTACCGGCTTTGAGATAAACAGCAAAAACTCAGAGATGAGAGCTTCCTTTAAGACCAATAGCACTGATCTCTTCTTGTAATGATAATCATAATAAAAGAACATTAAAACCAGTGAAAAATGTATAATCCTCACTCAAGGGTATGTTTATTGATTTTAGAGAGAGAGGGAGAGAGAGAAAGAGTGAGACAGACAGAAAAACGCAGATGTGAGAGAGAGAGACATTGATGGGTGGTCTCCCAGACGCCCTGACCAGGGATGGCACCAGCGGCCTCTCGGTGCCCGGGCCAGCGCTTTGACCAACTGCGCAGCCCGGCCAGGGCCAAAACCACTGAAAAATTTTAGGTAAAAAATTTCTTTAAAAATACACCCCCCTCACTCCCAGCCCCATCGCTTCTGCTCCAAATTCTCAGTATCTTTCTGTCTGGCTTTCAGCCCCCACCTCTTAACTGAGTGTGGTCCATGCAGAAACTGGGAGACCCCACTTGCTCACCTGGCCAATAAGCAGGTATCCACACCAGCTAAGAAAGTCCCCTCAACGCTCTGGCAGCTGAGAAAATGCCCAAATGTGGGCATCAGAGAGACAGCCTTCTCCAGCCACAGAAATCTGTACTGTATGGGTGTTACCACTGTTGGCCACGTGTCCTTGCTCACTTTGACCACCAGGAGGCGCAGATCCAAATCCCGGCTCAATACTCATAGGACCATGCATTTTGTGTACTAATCTACTAGGTTTATTTTTCCTCCCTTTTAAAATTTTCTATCATATTTCCACTACCCATATTCCACCCAGAGCCACACAGCATGAGCTACAAAGCAATCCGCAGCTGGCTGTTACATGCACTGGGCCTGGAGGTCCCCAGGCAAAGCCAAACTGTGATCAAAATTTGGCTGCTGCTAATGCCAGGCCTGGGGCTGCTAAGCCAGAGGTACGGGGTATGGTGGCTTGCTAGGCTGGTTGTTGCTCATTTCAGAGGATTCAGGATGATGTGAAACATGAGCCAAGACCACCCACTTATATGGAAGAGCACTGTTAACATCTAGGGCGGGCTGTATTTTGGGTGGGAGGGAGCCTCAGGGATTCTCTAGGGTGGAGCAAACCATGGGAACCAGGCTGATAGAGCTTCAGATATGGCCCCTGCCTGTGGCCCTGGGGGGGAGAAGGCGCAGAAAAGGAACAGTGGCCTTCCGGTACCTTTGAGTCTGGGAGAAAGTTGTCCCCCAGCTCTTGCCCTGATGCCAGAAACTTCAGTTCCTCCCCATATGCCACTGGTGCCTTTCAAGCTGCTGCCTCAGTGCAGGAGCTCAAAGGGAGCGAGTCTGAGTAAATATGTGTGTGAGCTCTGTGAGAGACACTGCGTGGGACTCTAGTAGTTCCTTCCACCAATTCAAAGTCTGCTGGGTTTTACAGCTAGAAGTTCTGGCGGCCTATCTGCCTGGCACTGGAACCCCAGGATGGGAGTTTAGGGTGGGGCTCGGACCCTCACTCCAGAGATATCCCTCCCAAATTTGTATCCACCCCTTGTGGGTGTGGGAGCAGCCTGTTCCACATCTCCTCATCTCTGTGTTTCCTACCAGTCTAAATGGATGTTGTTTTTTTAGTTCTATAGTTGTCAGACTTCCATTCAACTCAATTTCCAGTGGTTCTGAGTGATGGTTGTTCTGTAGTTTAGTTGTCATTTTGATGTGGTTGTGTGAGGAGATGAGCTGTATTTGCCTATGCCACCATCTTGACTGGAAATCTCATTTGATAAATGAATCTTGACATTGGATGGTGGTCCGCAGTGGATGAGAGGGAACACCAACTCTCCGAGAAATAACTACTTTGCCAACAGAATCTCACTGAGACTGTTCTGGATTTTTCAAGAGAGCAAACACTGTAAGTGATTTTCATGGAGACTACCGCCTCTGGGGGGTGGGGGAGGGGCGAGAGGTACGGTCTGACTGGGAGGCAGAAAGAAGAGTCAGGGAAAGGAGGGCTCGTGCTTCCACGCTACTGAGTCCTGAGAAGGGAGGAGCCCTGCAGTCCCCGCTGGGGTGTGGTGGGGTAAAATGATAGAAACTCAGATTTTATTTAGGTCTGAAAAATCTCAAAGACCAAGGTACCCGCTAAGAGCTGGTGAGGACCTAGAGTGCCTGTGGGCAGCACAGAAAGGAGCTGGCAGCAAGAAAAGGGGCCACACAGTTTTCCGTGGCCCAAAGCAGCACTGAGCCGCAGAGAAAGGGCCTGGGAGTGGAAGCCACGCGGGGAGGCGCTGGTGAAATCAGGAACCAGACCACGGATGAAGGGGAGTCAAGGGCCAGAAGCCTCTGACCTCAACTCTTTGGAACTGGAAAAGCCCTCCTGAACTGCAATGCAAGGCAGGAAAATGGGGAGAACCTGAGCTGAGATGTTTTCTGCTCTGAGTGAGGCTTAAAATAGAAATAAAATACATTTTACAAAAATAAACAAAATTACATTTTTTTGTACACGAGTTTGTGACCTAAATGTGGAACCCACTGTCCATAACGAAACTGTTGTGCCTGCCAAGCCGCAGGGACCCTCGGGTCACCATTTCCAAAACGCTACTCAGATGTGGGAGTGGTTCCCCGTGTGGCCTCTGGGGGCAGTAGCCCAGGGTGCCCCAATTCTCTAGTTTACTAAAAGGGTGTGGAAACTATCTCATAAGTAATTCTACGTATTTGTTGAAACCAGAATTTAGCCAAGAGAATGTCTCACAAATGATTTCCACCTGTATTATTCTACAGGAAGGTTTTCTGCAATAAAAGGAATGAGTTTAATAATGTAACACAAATGCATTTCAGAGGTGAACTACGACAGGTGCTAACAAGGCTTACTTACAAATATTCCCAGGAGAATGTAATTTGCAGGCACCTGGCGGCGGAGTTTCCCACAGCAAGCAAGTACAAAAAGCACAATGAAAAACACTGGCCTGAGGATGATTGAAAACCATGTGTTATTTGCTTCCAGTGATTATATCATGTGAGATTATTATAGGTGGATAGAGCAGTAGATATCATTATGTGATGTTATCTGATAGTAACTATCATAAAGTAAACAAAAGTGTGGATTATTAATTTTGACCCCTTTTTTAAGTTTTTAAAATTAACTTTTCTCATTGCCATCCACAGACAGCTTTGAGGCTCTTTTCAAATTTTTTTGTTTTGAGATAATTCTGGATTCACAGAAAGTTGCAAAAGTACAGAGAGCTCCCATATACCCTTTACTTCATTTCCCTCTATGTTTACATCTTGCGTTATTTCTAGTGCAGCACCCAAACCAGTAATATGACATTGGTACCACGTGCATATGCATATAATGCTATAACGTAGAGCTGTGATAGAAATCTGCATGTAGGTACATGGGACCCGCACCGCAGTGAAGATGTGAAACTATCCCGTCATTAAACCATCAACGAGGTCTCCCGGGGCCGTCCCTTTACGCACGCGCACATACACCTAACTCCTGGCAACCACTGATATGCTTGTTTTTCATCTCTATAATTTGGTCATTTGAAGAATGTTTTATCTTTACCTAATTTTTAAAAATCCTCTCCTGAGGGTATGTTTATTGATTTTAGAGAGAGAGGGGGAAAAAGCACTGATGTGAGGGACAAACAGCGATCAGCTGCCTCCTGCAGCATTCCTGCTGGGGGTGGAATCTGCAACCTGAGAACGTGCCCTGACCGGGGCCTGAAGCTCCCGCCCTTTAGGTGCAGGGGACCGTGCTCCAACCCACTGAGCCACCAAGGTTGCTCGAGGTTGTCTTCGCCTCATTTTAAATGAAGAACCTTGATCAATATCTAGTAGAAAAACCCACTTTTTATTAAATCCCCTAATACTTACCAGATTGCATAGATGAACCAGGGATTCTTGAGCACCCACTCTTTTAAACCTCTCCTGGTTTTTAAAGAAATGGATAGTTTTACTCAATCAGTAGTTAATTTTACTACCTAATGTAATATTTAAGTAGCAGTGAAACAGTCTCGTAGGAAGGGGGAAATGCTAGATGGTTGACGTTGACAATGTGGACAACTTAACATCTACCCGACAGCGGAGACAGAGACTCACCAGAAGATGAACACACTGATTAGCGCCCCGGTGACCATCAGCTGAGCTGACAGGATAAGGAACACTTTCACAATGAAAGCTGGGGAGACAGAAACGTTATTCTTAATGGAATAAATGTCAAAAGCACAAATATAAATGACCTACTTCATGATTTATTCCAGAGAGAAAGAGAGAAACACTGATGTGAGAGAAACATCGAAATGTTGGCCGGTCCCCTATCACAGGTGCCAGGACTGGGGACAGAACCCGCAGCCCCCGCAAGAGCCCTGACTGGGAATCAAACTCATGCTGTTTTGGTTTATAGGTTGGTGCTCCAACTACCTGAGCCATGCCAGCCAGGGCTAGATGACCTATTTTTGATACTTAACAAAAGAAATTTTTCCTCTGATTTGTTGAGGATGGGAGAGGGAGTGCTCTTTTTGAGTTAGCCCATTGAAAACGACAGAAACACAGCTCTTCGGACCTCACAGGACACAGTCTGAATGGTCCGAGGTGTTTTGTTGGACACCTGAGGGTTTATCCAGGAAACCCCCCAAATTTTAGGTACTAATTCAAGAATCTAAATCCTTATGATGCACACCATGTCCTCTTTGGGCCTGAAAGTGACCCCAAAATTGCAGAATGTCGCAAACCTGTTATTGGGATCCACCTACACCCTGGAGCAGAACAGAGAAGGCTGCTGCAGTGGGTGTTCACCCCTTGGGCTTGGGCTTGGGCTGTGGGGAGTTGGCTCAGCTTTTCCTCCACTTCCCTCTCCCACCACCTGCCTCTAGCCACTCCCTTCCCTGGTACTTGTGCAGAAATGAGATAACCTGACAAATTATAAGTAGGATCTTTTTTGTGGCTTTATGACAATTTTTGGATTGAGGAGAAAGGAGGAAGAAAGCAAGGGAGAGAAACATCAATGTACAAGAGAAACATCGATCAGTTGGCTCTTGCACGCCCCCAGCAAGGGACCCAGCCCACAACACAGGCATGGACCCAGAACAGGAATTGAACTGGTGACTTTTTGGGTCACATGCTGGCACTCAGTCCACTGAGCCACACCAACTAGGGCACTTTATGCCAACTTTAAAAAGAAAAGAAGAAGTGCTTGAAGTCGACTTACAGGATCACAACTGTGTCCTTGTGCTGGGCATTTCTGTGTAGAAGAAGTGTGACAACAGAGAAATGGGCCTGAGACCTCGTCATGAAAATACCAGAATATATATGCACCAAATGCGTGCTGCCTGCATTAAAATATTCACTCAATTATAGCATTAATTCCACACCTGCTATGTATCAGGGGTTGAGGGAATAAGTACTAAATGTGGCCCAACCTTATAAGACTAGACACATAGGTTAATGGAATAGAATCAAAAGTCCAGAAATAGTATCTTGCCAATCGATGTTTAACTAATGAGCCAGAACAATTTAATGGAGAAAGAGTAGTCTTTTCAACCAATGGTGCTGGGACACCTGGACATACACATACAAAAAATGAATTTGTGCCCCTTCCTCATGCCATCCATACACAAAAACTAATCCATTAAAAATGGGTTATAGACAGTAACGTAAGAAATACAACTTGTGGAAGGAAACACGGGTGTGAATCTCTGTGAGCATGGATCAGGCAACGACTTCTAAAGGTGTGGTGCCTAAAACACAAGCAAAGAAGAATGAGTAAATTGAATTCCATCAACGGTAAAAGCTTTGTGCTTCAAATGACACAATCTGAAAGTAAAAGAAAACTCAAAAACTGGGGGGAAGTTTTGCGAATCATAGATCTGGTCAGGGACATATCTAGAATACATAAAGAAGTGCAATTCAATAACAAGAAGACAAATGACAATTAAAAATAGGCAATGCTTGTGCTGTTAGTTCCCTCCCACATCGACTCTGGGCTTGGCCACATGAAAAGTTAGCACGTGCAATACAGGCAGAGGCTTGATAAATGGCTTGCACGATGGCGCTTGTCCATCCGGTAAGCTTCTTCCTGGGCCCCAGCTGCCATGTGATGAGAAGCTCATGTCACAAGAAGAGATCCACAAAACTAGCACCACTGGCAGCCACGTCAAGGAGTCTTAGTGGCCGTCACATCTTCAACCACCAACTGATTAAAACTGCTCAGGAGCCTCCATCACAACCAGTACGTCCCAACTGAGTCTAGTCAACCCACAGAATCATGAGAGCTAATAAAATCTGTTGGTTTTTTTTAAGTGGTCCAAGGATTTGAGTAGACATTTCTTCAATAGCTGATAAGCATGTGAAAAGATGCTTAATATCAATTAGTCATTAGAGAAATGCAAATCAAACCTACAATGAGCTATCCCTCACACACAAACTAGAATGACTGTAATAAAAGGACAAACAATAACGACTGTTGGTGAGGATGCAGAGAAACAGACACACTCATATATCACTGGTTGGAATGTAAAAAAAAGGTGCAGCCGCTTTGGAAAAGTTCATCAATTCTTCAAAATATTTAACATGAAGTAACCATATAGGTCAGCAATTTGTAGGTACCTACCCAAGAAAAATGAAGACATATGTCTACACAAAAACTTCTGTATGAATGTTGATCACAGCACTATTCCTAATAAACCAAAAAGCGGAAACAATCCAAATGCCCATCAGCTGAGAAATGGGTAAACCAGATGAGGTCTCTCCAAGCAGCGGAATACTATACAGCCACGAAGAAGGGATGGGGTACTGATGCATGCCGCAACATGGATGAACCCTGAAAACATCATGCTAAGTAAAAGAAGGCAATCACAAACAACCACACGTTGTATAATTCCATTGCTGTAAAATACCTAGAATAGGCAAATCCATAGAGGCAGACGGCAGATAAGTGGTTAGCAGAGACTGGGGAGAAAGGGATGGGGAGTGACTGCTAACGGATATGGGTTCTTTTTGTGACAGTGGTTGCAAAACTCTAAGTAAACTAAAAATCACTAGACTGTACCCTTAAAAAGGGGGTGAAATTTATGATATGTAAACTATATCTCTGTAAATCTGTTTTTTATGGTATTTTTATTTTATTTTTTTAAAAGATTTTATTTATCTTTAGAGGGGAAGGGAAGGAGAGAGGGAGAGAAATACCAGTGCATGGTTGCCTCTCATGCGTCCCCTGCTGGGAACTGACCTGCAACCCAGGCGTGTGCCCTGACTGGGAATGGAACCGAGATCCCTTGGTTCACAGGCCCGTGCTCAATCCACTGAGCTACACCAGCCAGTGCCATAAATCTGCCTTTAAAAACTGTAGCTCCCTAGCCCCGTAACTCTTTATTCCTTACCCTGTTATATGCTTCCTTTTTTCCATAGCATTTCCATAGTTTTATGAACTACGTAATTTTAGGGGGGAGGGGCAGGCAACCTCTGTCCTCCGGGAGAGGCAGATACAAATAGCGAACTCCACTAGTGGGAAGGAGGCTTTACGTATGTTTTTAGTTGTAACCCATTAAGCCTCAGTTTCCCATCTGTGAAGTGGCATACAAGGACTTTGTCTGCAGGGGTGTAAGAACTAAGTGCAGTAATGCTCCCCTTGCCAGGCAGTGGCAAAAGATTAGCACCTGTGGCAGAGGCAGCTGCTTGCTTCATGACATCCATTCTCCCCAGTGCCCTCACTGTCTAACCCAGATCCTGTTAAAGGTGTCAATGGACTGGACTGGAAACTACAGATGCGGGTGGCCACGTGGTCCAGGGAGGGTCAATGACACGTGATTGGAAACTCTTGGATGTGGTTTCTGAACAGAGGTTGGATTCGGAGGATGTGCAGGATGTCCATCCGTGAATGGCGACCCCTGGAGGAGCCGGGGTGGCAGATCGCCCTGGCCTCTTTTCGCTGTTGCCTTGTCCTTCCTGGAAGACGGGAGCTCCAAAGGGCATCTTTCCAGCCACAAGGAGGGTAGGGGCCACCAGGAGACAGTGCAGGGACCCAAGGCTCATGGTCTGCCTTTAAGTCGTCCAGGCCCTGACAAGGCCTTATGGGCGGCAGAGCAGGCGCAGTGACCTGTGCCATTTGCCTTGGATTTGTTTATCTCTGAAGTTCATATTTCATGAAAGAAAAATAATTCTCACTTATTTAAGCCACGGGTTTTTAGGTTTCTTCACTCACAGTTGGATGTCACATTTCCTGTACAGAGTTAATATCTAGGGCATTGAATTAATATTCTTTTAAAACTAAAGCCAGTGTTGCAGTATTACATTGTGTGTAGGTAAGAACATTCTACTGTCAATGGACTAATTCACATTTTCTAAGAAAACCACAGTTTGTCACTGTTTATTGGAAATCTTTGAATGCCCTGGATGACCTGACCTATCGTAGTGGCCCTACACTGTGGTCCACATGAAGCAGGAGTGGGAAAAATCTTCCTGACTCTGGGGAAACATTTTAAGAAAGCATTTGCTTTTCTCTCCTAAAAAGTGCATTTCTTGATTCTCACCTCTGCGGATAGATGTTTCTGAGAATGGGCTGGGTAAAGTACTGCTGTCTTCGGGGGTGCTCTCATCTGAAATTTGCACCACATAGGAATCTGCTTGCCGACTAGTCTTGGGATGTGGCTTCCCATGAGTTTGTTTTGGCCTGGAGGAAGGTGAAGTTTCGTAGGGCTGACCAGCTTTGGTCTGGACGTTCCCATCGGCTGCTTTCCGGATCAGATGTTGATGATCTCCAGCACCGAGGTCTATCGGTTCCCTGGCTTCCAAGTCCATTTTCCTGGAGGGGGAGAGTTGTTATTCGGGTCCTTTGGCTCACACCCACTACAACCATAGCATCCTCATAACCTTCAGGGGATGTCTCCTTATTTTAACTCCCTTGGCTCAGTACTTACCAAGTCAGTGCTTAATCAACATGTGTTGAATGAGTGATGAACAAATACTTCTAAGATGGTGCCTACAGATCAAAACTACTCTCATTCCATTATGAAGTCTGTACATTTGCAAGTCCATTCAGGAGGGAGTTATGAGTTTCCTCCATACTCCACGTGTGGGGCTGTCCTCATCACTGCCACCCTCAGAGAGTGTGTGTGTTAGAAGAGAACATAACCGACCAAACGGTAATATAAGCAGGGCTGGGAACAATGGAGGATGGTCCAAAAGCCTCTAACGAAGTCTGGAAGAACACTCATGGAATGGAAGAGGTTGTTTAAACTCCCAGAAGAAGTGAGGGTTAAGCGAAGGCTGCAAGGCGAGTAGGAGCCAGTCAGGTGAAGAGGTGGGGAAAGGGTTTCCTTGGCGGAGAAACCAGCCTGGCCCAGGACTGGGGGAAGGAGAGAGTGATGGTTCTAGCAAGCTCAAAGGGGAGAGCAGAATGGGCTTAAGCAGAGGAGCAGGTCACTGATAGGCTGGCAAGCCAAGTTCATTCTGAAGGCCATGGCTATGGCAGGCAGAATAATGGTCGCCTAAAGATGTCCACATCCTAACCTCTGGGGCCTATGAATGTGGAGCCTCACATGGCAGAAGGAGGGCTGTAGATGTGACTAAGGACTCTGAGGTGGGGTAGGGTCCTGGATCGTCTGGGTGAGCCCAAGTGAATCACAGGCATCGTTATGATCATACTTATAAGGGGGACACAGGGGGCTCAGAGTCAGAGAAGGAGACAACAGCAGAGGACAGAGTGACAGAGTTGCTGTCTTTGAAGATGAAGGAAGGGGCCATGAGCCAAGAAATGCAGAAGGCCTCTGGAAGCTGGAGAAGGTAGGAAACACACCCCCCCCCCAGAACCTCCAGAAAGGAATGCAGCCCCGCTGATACTTTGGTTCTAGCACAGTGAATCTGCTTTGTGACTTCTGACTTCCAGGTAATAAATTAGTGTTCTTTTAAGGCATTCCATTTGTAGCAATTTGTTATAGCAGCAATAAGTAGCAAACAGAACAAGGAATCACTAAAGCTTTTCCAGCAGAGGCCCACGGGGCTGTGGCTACAAAGAGCACACCAGGTGCAGCATGGAGAACGAGCAGGAGGTGGCAGAAATGGAAGCAAAGAGACCAGGGATCCAGAGATGAGGCTGTGATGGGCTTTGCCACTCTGATTTGTGGCAGACCACAGTTCTTAGGAAACTAGTACTCAATGGACCAAAATGGCAAAAGAGAAGGCCCCCAGAAACTCCCCAGGGACAAGGAGACGCAGACAAGCCCTGGATGCTGGCCTCCTACCCCACCAAGGGCGCCGAGGAGGAAACCGAGGTGACAGCTGAGACTTCAGGGCCTCGGACAAAATAGGAAATGTTCTGAATGATAGGTCTGAACAAAATGCCATGCTCTCACAGAGGCAGATATTTTGTGAAGATGTCCCTTCTTCTCAAATTATCTGTAAATTTTTACAAAACTCATTGGGATTTCTTTTCTAGTGCTTGAAAATGTAATTCTGAAGCTCATCAGAAAGTGTAAATATGTGAGAATCATGAAGAAAAAAATGGAAAGAGAAGGACTATGGGGTGGAGGGGGATGGGGAGAAGGGATTCACCTTCTCAGAAATCAAAATATCGTAAAGCCACAGCTGAAAGTGGGGTGCTAGCCAGACAGTAGATAAATGGATCAAAGGACGGAAGAGATCCATGAAGTACACTCATGTATATGTGAGAATTTAATATTTGATAAAAATGGTATTTTAAATTACTGTCCCATGATGTCAGAGCAGTTAGCTATGCTCAGAAAACAAAGTTTAAGAGCTAGTTCACATCTTTTACAGAAATGCATTCCAGAGGAATTAAAGATATTATAAATAATAATAGCCATAGATATTCTACAAAAAAAGTATCTACGATTAGTTGTGTGAGCCTCTGTAAGAATGACACCATGAAGAAATGCTCAGCGGATCTGGGGAGCAGGAACACCTTACACGTCATGACAAACAGAAACCGGTAAATCCGAAATGGAAAACTGAGAAAATAAAATTTGCAATATTTATCATACTGTTAAAAAACCCTCTGTAACAAAGAGAAGGTGAGCAGCTGAATAGAAAGATGAGAAAAATAACATAAATAGGTAAGTGATTAATAGAAGACATTTAAATGATTGATAAACTTAGGAGATAATACCTACCTCACAAATAACCAAAGAAGTTCAAGTACAAATAACTGTACAATGTTCCTTTTGTTTACACAAAAGACTAGCAAAGACTAAATATATATAGGTAATTCTCAGAGTCGCAAGGCTGTGGAGAAACAAGTCACCCAGGGCCACAGTATTGCCTTGCAGGGTCTGTACACGTCTGCCTTCCTGGGTCCCCTTTTCATAAAAAAATATGAGAAAGCACACTTTATAGTTGCATGGGTATATAAAACATACGATCCAGTCCGGGTGCGTTGTATATTGTACATTCATTATTACTGATTTTTTTCTCCTGACCTTAAAGGAAGTTAAAATATTTTCGTATTCCTGGACACCATCGTGGGCCCCAGGCAGTGCGCCTCCTCACCCATCGGCTAGGTTGGCCCTGGGAGAAGCTTACGGGACTGACAGGTGCGTAAATTTTTTTCGTGAGTAATTTAGAAGCATCTACCAAAAAAATTTCATTTTAGATCCACTAATAACATTTTTAGGAATTTATCCTATAAAAATACCCCCACAAATAGGCAATCATACATGTATAAGGAAGTTCATTACATCATTCATTGTTCACACTTGCAAAAACTTTAAAACAGGCTAAAGATCCAATATCAGGAAATGGTTAAATTAATTTTGGCAAGGAAAAGACAGGCATATATGGACTGATGTGGTAAGTTCACTTTGATACACTTGAATTCTTAAAGTCAGTTTAGAGAATAATATTTAGTAGAATCACATTATTGTTTTATGCATGTTTCCAGAAACTGGAAAGATACACTATAAACTATTAATATGGTTATCTCTAACACAGCAGAGTTGGTGAATACCTCTGAATTTTATACATTCTTATAACGAGCATTTATTACTTATATAAAGAGAAATATTTACATCTTGAAGAAAATAAATATTTTTCTTTGTTGATAAAGTCTGGAGCTCCTCTGAAGAAAGCAATCTTCACACACAGCTGAGAAGCATTAAAAGATGCTCAGATGACCAAGTAGGTTTCTTCCCCAGCCATCCTGCAGATGAGAAGGGCGAGAGGCAGCAAAATTGTCAAAGCAACTGAGAACCACAACCAAACAAACCAAAACCAAAGACAGCTGAGTTTTCCTCATGAAACTATCGTTGGCTGCTGCACAAAGAACAAAATGAAGCTTTCACCTACTCCTGCAAAAGGGCTCCTAAGCCGGCAGTCATCCAAAGGACAGGCAGGGGCTGGGAGCAAGGAGCAAAGTTCTGAGCGACAGTTAGGAGAGTGGCAGTTGGATTGTGGGGTGGCCCAGGGAATCCCACTACCTGGGTGAGGGGCTCTGAGTCAAGTCCATCTGCCAAGCTTCATCCTGATCAAAGGGCCACAGCACTGACCTCGGTGCTGAGTCCCAGCAAGGCCAACACCTGAGTCTCCAGAACCCGTCCTCCCCGCCATCACCTCTCCCAAGCAGGAGGAAGATGCCTCCGACACTCAGCCAGGGATCCTGCACATTTCTCTCGAATGAGTAAGACTGTTGACCATAAAGGAGGCATCGGTTCTTCCGGTGGATGATGACGACGTGGGTGCTGCCCCTGGCACAGGGAGATGCCTCCCCTGGGCTGCAGGCCAGTGAGGAGCTGGGGAGGCCTGAGGCAGGCTGTTTGGTGAGAGAAGTCAGAGGACAGGGCAGGGGGTGGCGGGGAGGGGACTGGGAGCTGACATTTGTCCTGCTGAGAAAATGCTCATTGCTACATTAACCCACACATGAAACTGCTCATTAGTGCCTGCCTGCTGTGTGCAAGGTGTGGGAAGCAGAAGAAACACAAAGAGGGAAGAGGCAAACGCCCTTTCCTCCACATGCTCGCAGTGCAGGGGAGCGGGCAGGGCCCAAAGGTGCACCCTAAGGCAGAAGAGTAAGAGTCAGAGCAAGGAGTGGCTGTTTGAGTTAGGCTGGACAAAGAAGGGGTGACTTCTGGCACGGAAGCTTCCTGAAGGAAGTGAGCTGGTTCTGGAAGGATGGATAGGGCCAGGTGTGCAGTGTTTCCAGACAAAGAGAACACCCGAAGGGGTGGGAACCGTGGGGCTCACGTTCACTTCATAGAAGGTACGAGTGCACTGGGAGAGAGATACCATTATGTCCCCCAACGGGAAAAAGGAAAAGGTCAGCAAACTGTGGCCTTGGCTCTCTCCCCTTGAGCCTTCTCGCAGGTCCGTAGGTCTCACACACTTTCGCTCTGCCCAGCCTACGGCCTCTCTCTTTAGTTTGCCGATGTTAATAGGCAACCAGAATTAACTTTATTTTTTCCAAGATTACCTGTGGGCAGGGAAGGGTTGTAATGAGTGACTTGACCCATCTGGTCCAAAGAAATGCTGCTTTCTCCTCCTTGTGTTTTATCAGCCTCAGAGTTGACAGGGGTTAGGCACTGACCACATGTGGAAGGGGCTTACGGCCTTCCATGCACCCACTCACAGAGCCCTCACATCAGTCCTGAGAGGTGTCATGACAGATGAGTAATGGAGACTCAGGGGCGCAATGCTCCCGAGAAGTGCAAAACCAGGGTAGGAATGGCTGAAGAACCCTGCGCCACCCCTACTCACCAAGTCACAAAATGTGGGCAAGACTGCCTCTCTGAAACCAGCTTTTGATAAATGCCATGCATCTGCTGTTTTTTTTTTCATTTTTTAATTTCAAG